TAACCTTCACTGTTGACTTGGCTAGATTTGAAATTGCCTAGGAGAAATACATTTGAGTATGTCTGTGAGGGCATTTCCGGAGAAGTCTAGCTGAAAAGGAAAGACTGTGGGCTGTTTTTCCATATGCTAGAGTCCCAGACTGAACACAAAGGAAAAAGTAATTCGCACACCCACATTCATCTCTCTGTCTCCTGACTAGACACCTCCAACTCTGACCATCAGGCCTTTCATACCATGATGGTTAGTACCTTCAAACTGTGAGCCAAAAGAACCACTTCCTCGCTTAGATTGCAATGCTCACAGCAATGAGAAAGGTAGCTTGTATATACAAACAAATCAAGATGGACAGACTCCACCTGGAGGGAGGCAAAGATGAAAACTGAGTTGAATATGGAGGATAACCAAATTTTCAGAAAGGGAGTTATTCTAGATGTCCCTCAACTGAAGAATGGATAAAGAAAATGTGGCACATCTACACAATGAATAAATACTATTCAGCTACGAAAAACATGCCGGGCAGTGGTGGTGCACGCCTTTAATCCCAGCACTTGGGAGGCAGAGGCAGGCGAATTTCTGAGTTCGAGAGTTCGAGGCTAGCCTGGTCTACAGAGTGAGTTCCAGGACAGCCAGAGCTACACAGAGAAACCCTGACTCGAAAAATCAAAAAAAAAGAAGAAAAAAAAAAGAAAAACAAAGACATCATGAATTTTGCAGGCAAATGGATGGATCTTGAGAATACCATTTTGAGTGAGGTAACCCAATCTCAAAGGACACACGTGGAATGCACTCACTTATAAGTGGATATTAGCCATGAAATACAGGATGCCCATGCTACACCCCACAGACCCAATGAAGGTAAACAAGAAAGAAGGCACAAGTGAGGGTGCTTGAGTCTCACTTGGAAGTGGGAATGGAATGGCTGTGGAAGTCAAATGGAAGAGGGAACTGGGAGGGAGAGGGAAAGGGGAGGGGAGGGGAGGAACTCAGAGTTGGGTGTGGGGAGGGGCAGGGGGATGGCCAGATGTCCATGAGAATGAATGGAAATCTGCAACTGATGGGAGTGGGGAGGTCGGAGTCATCTTCAGGGAGAGACAGAGACATGGGATAAGGGAGGTCCCCAAGAATCAGTGGGGGTGTCCTTAACACTGATGATATGGAGCCTGGGGAGGTTGCCTTCTATGACAAAGCAGGAACTGGTGGAACAACCCACAAAACTTTTGGGACACCAACCCACCCACAAAACTTTTGACCCAAAATTTACCCTGTCTACAAGAAATGCAGGGATTGGGGATGAAGCAGAGACTGAGGGAACAGCCAATCAATAACTGGCCCAACTTGAGACACATCCCATGAGCAAGCACCAATCCCTCACAAAATTAATGATACTCTGTTATGCTTGCAGACAGGAGTCTAGCATGGCTGTCCTCTGAGTGGGATCAAACAGATGCCGACACCCACAGCCAAATAGTAAATGGAGCTTGGAGACGCTTATGAAATGAGTTGAGGGAAGGATTGCAGGCCCTACGGGGATAGGAACTCCACTGGAAGACCAACAGTATCAACTAACCTAGACCCTTGGGGCTCTCAGAGAACCACCAACCAGAGAACATTCATGGGCTGGACCTAGGCCTTCCCACACATATGTACCAGATGTTCAGCTTGGTCTTCATATGGGTCCTGCATAACTGGAGTGGGGGCTATCTCAAAAGCTGTTGCCTGTACATGGGATATATTATTCTAGCTGGGCTGCCTTGTCTGGCCTCAGTGGGAGAGGATGTGCCTACGCTTGTAGACTTGATGTGCCAGGTAGAAGGATACCCAGGGAGCCCCCACCCGCTCAGAGAAGTGGAGGGGGCTGAGGGAGGTACTGTGGAAGGAGGTGACCAAAAAGAGGGCAGTGAGAGGGATGTAAAGTGAATAATAATAATAATAATAATAATAATAATATAGAGTTATTGCTAAAATGGATTTAGCAGGAAGATTTGATACGGCTGAGTTTTATAAGGAAATACACAGATGAACCTAAGAGAAGACTGAAAAGCTGAAGTTTGGCCAAGCAACACATCTTTAGCAGAGGCTCTGGCCAAGGCATTTTTTTTCTCTAGAGAATCCCTTTAGTTTTCTAAATAACTTGGCAGTGCTTTTAAGCAGAGGTGGAGGGTGTTTATGCTTTATGTGACTTACTAATTCTGTACTTGCAGGCTTTCTTAGGACATATTACACATGACACAGTGGTTTTGTCATGTGTTATTCAATGATCATTCAGCTCTGTGTGTAGGTACAGAAAAACTCAAAATCAAGATGCCTACTAGGAAAGTGTACAGGAATTTAGACAAGAATAAGTGGAATGAGGGTTGTAGTTAGCAGATACAGAAACAGACTGAGAGATATTTACTACATGAAATCAATTGCATTTTGGGCAGCCAGAGATCTAGAGGCACTGGAGAGATGTTTTGATAGCTAAGAACACTTGATATTCCCAGAGGTCCTGGACTGGAGTATCAGCATCCACATAGCAGCTCACAACTGGCTGTAATTCCAGGTCTCAGAATCCCACACCCTCTTCTGGCCTCTTCTAGCCACATCCATGTGGTACAGAGACATACATGCTAGCAAAACAACCATACTCATTTTTTTTCCAAAGGGGAGAGGGTTTATTCGGGGCAGAGGGCAAAGGTAGGGAGAGAAACAGAAGATGGTGGAGAAAGAGGAGAGACAGAGGAGAGAAGTGGAGGCCGGCCATGACCACGTGGAGAGAGGGGAAAGGGAATGGAGGAAGGGCGAGGAGAAGCTAGAGGCAAGAGAGTAAGAGAGTAAGAGCAACCATACTCACTTTAAAGAGCAAAAATGTTTTATCATCAACCTTTTTTAATTTAAAAAGAAAAAAGATTTATTTATTTTATATGAAGTACATTGCAGATGTCTTCAGACACACCAGAAGAGGGCATCAGATCCCATTACAGACGGTTATGAGCCACCATGTGGTTGCTCTTAACCACTAAGCCATCTCTCCAGCATGTGTGTGTGTGTGTGTGTTTGTGTGTGTTTGTGTGTGTGTGTTTTTAAATGAGTGATCTAGAGAGGTTTTTATGGGAGTCAGGAACTCAGATATCCTGAACTGCATAGATTTGGGGACTCTGTGAAAAATCAGTGACTTTATTCACAACACAGATAGTTATGACAGAGTCCTGTGTTGTGGGCAGCCAGGGATGATGGTGCTTGGAAACAGAGACCTGACATGGCTCAGCGAGTAGACAGCTTACTGGAGACATCAGGGGGACCTGAATTCTGAGCTCTCAACCTTTGTGAAAAACTGTGTATATATAAAGCTGGTGCCTGAAATCTCAGCCAGCACAGCAGAAGCCTGGGGCTCCCTGGCCAGTTAGGCCAATTGTGAGTGCCTGGTTCAGCGAGACTTTGTCCCAAAAATTAAGGTGGAGTGTGACAGAGCAATACCATTTCCACACAAGCTCTCTCCAGCATTCACGAGGGTAAAGATGAGCTCCAGAAAATGAACAGGGAGGGGCAAGCAAGACAAGGAGCATAAAGTGTGAAAAGAGGGGCCTAGGATCCAGCTAGGAACAATTATCTACAGTTTAAGAATTTAAAGTAAGCAGAGCAAGCAAAACAGATGCTAAACTTGGTCCTTAAAGTCCCAGAAGACAGTGTGGTTTCCGCTGAAGCCAAAAATGCAGCATTTCTTGTTTGGTTTCAGACCAGGGACAAGGGACTGAGACACATATTTTACATTTTGACATATTTACTAAGCAGATTTGGCCTCCAGATTCTCCCAGCATCCCTCAGTCTCTACCTGGCATACCTTACACCCAACCTTGAAGTTTCCAGCCCAGGGGCTGGGCTGCGCTTCCCCCAGAGGCTCTTCCCTGTATAATCCAGATATTTTGCATTCTCTCTCTCCCTCTCTCTTTCTCTCTCCCCCCCTCCCCTCCCTGTCTCTCTCCTTCCCACCCCCTTCTCTCTCTGCGCGGCGCGTGCCCTTTCTCTCTTTCTCCTCTCCCCAACTCATCTCCCCTGGCCTCAGTCCTTGGGACCAGTGAATTCGCCCGAGACCAGCGTCCTAATAAACCTGCCATTAATAATAACCTAATCTGAGCCGGGCAGTGGTGGCGCACGCCTTTAATCCCAGCACTTGGGAGGCAGAGGCAGGTGGATTTCTGAGTTTGAGGCCAGCCTGGTCTACAGAGTGAGTTCTAGGACAGCCAGCGCTATACAGAGAAACCCTGTCTCGAAAAAACAAATTAATAATAACCTAATCTGGCTTAATTGGCTCATTTCACCGGAGATTTTTTTTGGGGGGGAGGGGGGTTCAAGACAGGGTTTCTCTGTATAGCCCTGGCTGACCTGGAACTCACTCTGTAGACCAGGCTGGCCTCGAACTCAGAAATCCGCCTGTCTCTGCCTCCCAAGTGCTGGGATTAAAGGCGTGCGCCACTACCGCCCGGCAACGGAGATATTTTTTAAAGGGAGGAAGAAAGGACATCGATTTTGGCTGGGCAATCAATCAAAATAATCTATAACTGGGCATTAGACTTGGTGACATACGTGTTCCCGGAGAGCCCGGAAATGAAGTGAACTAGGCAGCAGAGGGTGGAACGCACCCTTTTGAGAACCTTAGCTGCAGAAGCAAGGACAAGAGTGCGCACATCAACTGGAGAAGAAACTCTGGCACCCTGAGTCCTGGCAGGAGGAGGCAGAACAGTGAGAAACGATGAAGAAGCCTAAGAATTCCACAGTGCCTCCGCCCCAATTCTGAACAAGCGCCCAGCGCTTTGCGGTCTAGAGTTGTGGGGTTTCTTTAGGAGCCGATCCTTTCTGTCCTTCTTCCTCCATCTCTTTCGCATCATCCACCTCTGTTCCTGGAAAAATTTACGGTCCTTCGCTATTACTAAAACTCCTTCCGGGTCGGGGAGGGTGGGGCACACCTAGTACTGAAATTCCCGTGAGGTGAGGCGCGTAGTCGCGTCCCGTATTTAAATCTCGCGCAGGCGTGCTAGCTCCCTGTCGCTATGCGGGTGCTTATAGGTGAGGGAGGGCTGAGAGTCGCAGGCCGGCTTAGGCTGCAGCCGAGCGCTGGGAGAACAGGCCCATGGGGTGCAGTCTCCTAAGCAGGCAACCTAGCCTTGGTTTCCCAGCCCCAAAAGCTGAATCTGTGAAACCCTGTGACCTGTGTCACCTCTGCATCGCGGGGTGGGGTGGAGAGGCCTGAGGTCAGATGGGACCGCACCTAAAGGGGCCGCCAGCAGATAACCTGCCTCCACCCTGATGAGTAAACAGTTTGTGCTCTCCCATCAGGTGGCGGGACAGGATTCATTGGGACAGCCCTAACCCGGCTGCTGAAAGCCAGGGGCCACGAAGTTAAGCTGGTCTCCAGGCAGCCAGGCCCTGGTCGAATCACGTGGGTAGGTCCAGCATCTGGAAGGTGGGGGGGAGGGCAGTTTGCGCGGGAAGGATAGTACCAGCAGACACTGTACTTTCTCCCACAGGGTGAGCTCAGTAAGTCGGGGCTGCCCCTCTGCGATGTTGTCATCAACCTGGCTGGAGAGAACATCCTCAACCCTCTGCGAAGGTCAACAGGGCCATAAAGTATATATCACCTGCACAGGCCGACGCCTGTGAACTGTGCATGCTAGACATACACTGTGCAAGTGCCCCTTAAGCCTTTGGAGCCTGTTAGATAGCAGTGTCTAATAAAGCTCAGTGTTGTGGATAAAGAGATACAGTCCATGCCTATTGTGGGGGGTAGGGGTGAGTCCTACCTTTCTTACCCTCCCTGAGTTATGCATTAAGATAGAGTTAGCACAACTGGCTGACTGGGGTGAGTCAGATGAGTAGGGAGGATATGGTTTAGGTGCATGTCTGTACTTTTGACCTTCTCTTTCATCTTCTCTGCAGATGGAATGAAACCTTCCAAAAAGAGGTTCTTACCAGCCGCCTGGATACCACCCACTTGCTAGCTAAAGCCATCACCAAAGCTGTACAGCCACCTCAGGCTTGGATACTAGTCACAGGTGTAGGTATGCCCCCCAAATCCCCAGCCTCTTACATGAACAGAAGCAGGGAGAACAGGGCAGGCAGTTGAGGCCCTTGGGGCTTGCAGCACCCAAAGCATGAGTCCTTTCCAGTGTAGTTGCCTAGGCCTCCAGCCATGCAGGTTTCTCCTGACCCAGATCTGCATTGTCACAATGTCAGTCCTTATGGGCATGGAAAGACGGCATGTGAGGGGAGTGTGTACTTGGCTAGAGAGCCTCTACTGGAAGTCCTCAGAGGAGGCGTGGTGTGGTCCGAGTGCTGAGCTTTTTGCACTGCGGTTCTTTATGAAGAGCTCCCTTTGTCGTGTCTCCTTTGAGACCAAACAATTGCAAACAATTAAAATATGAGTAGTAGCCACTGTACTATTTTATAACATATTATTTAATCTTTGCAATTACTTTATGAGGTAGGTACAGTTACTCCCATATTGAAGATGCAGATTTTTCATACAGAGAAGTAACTTGCCAAAAAGTCACAGATGCCGAGAACGGTGGGGCTCAAGCAGCTTAGCACCTCCGTCTCTGTCCCTACCCACTACAAGCTAGCAGTCTCTGGACACAGTCTGGCGGCTAAAAGCTACACTGACAGGCATGAATACATGGAGAAGCTCAAGGGGGAGACAGTTATGGTTCTTTCTTCTCCTGTGGAAACTCAAAAGGCCAAGGATGCTGAGGCTAAGGAGCCTCTCACTACAAAGGCCCCAGCAGGCCAGGGGCTGCCAAAGCAAATGAGTGCTCTTCCATGACAGCTTACTATCAGCCAAGCCTGACTGAGGAGTATGATGAAGACAGCCCAGGAGGGGATTTTGACTTTTTCTCCAACCTGGTAACCAAGTGGGAAGCAGCAGCCAGGCTTCCTGGAGACTCTACACGCCAGGTCGTGGTGCGTTCAGGTGAGGACCCAGGCAAAGTGGAAGATTTCTGGGCTGAGGAGGGCTGAGCTTGCAGTGAGAGGACACCATCATTTTAGCTAACATACAAAGGGAAAGCCCCAAGAAGACCCACAGCCCTCAACTCTGTGCACTCCATGTGCACATGGGAAGACCGTGAGGGAGAAGAGAAATTAGAGTAGTGCAGAGTTTCAAGGCTAAGCAACTTCCTGTACCACCTGTCTGCTTTAGGGGTTGTGCTGGGCCGCGGGGGCGGCGCCATCAGCCACATGCTTCTGCCCTTCCGCCTGGGCCTCGGAGGCCCCATTGGTTCAGGTCACCAATTCTTCCCCTGGATACACATTGGTGACCTGGCAGGAATTCTGAATCATGCCCTTGAAGAAAACCACGTCCAAGGAGTCCTGAATGGAGTGGCTCCAGCATCTACAACTACCAATGCTGAGTTTGCCCAGGCCTTGGGTGCTGCCCTGGGCCGCCCAGCCTTCATACCTGTCCCCAGCACTGTGGTACAAGCAGTCTTTGGACGAGAGCGTGCCATCATGCTGTTGGAAGGCCAGAAAGTGATCCCTCGGCGGACACTGGCCACTGGCTACCAGTATTCCTTCCCAGAGTTGGGGGCTGCCTTGAAAGATGTTGTAGCCTGAGTAGAGAAGGAGCCCCAAGCAGGAGCTGGGCCTGTTCCTGCATCCTGAGAAGTGGGTCAGGTGATCCCTGTACTTGATTGAGAGCAGAAGCCATCTAGGTCTTACACTCTCTCCCCATGTTCTGTTGATCCACCCCTATCTGAGAAACTCCAGTCTCGAGGATGTAATCTCATTCTAACCTTAACCTCTTCAACTTCTTGTGGTTTCTGTGTCACATTGTTGCCCTGGTTCTCCTATATGCTGTGTAGACAAAGCTCTACAGTTGTGGCAATAAAGATAGAGTACATCACTAGATCACTGGCTTCAGCTGTGTCTTTGGCTTATTTTCTCCTAGAATTATCTTAAGAACTGTTACCTTACATGGGTCTCCCTAAGCTGGACTCTGAACATTTACCTCTCTTCATCCTTGCCTTTCTTGGTCTCTGTTCCCAAATGAGTTGGTTAGACATGAGGTTATGACAGAGATTAAAGACAATAAATATATATAAAGATGTATTTCCAGTGAGTTCTGGTGTCACCCTGACCACCTGTTCCGAGGATGCCAGCAAAAGTGGAGAAAAGGCCCTGTAGGTTAGCCTTCAGCGTTTACCAAACAGCCATGAATTAATATACTAAAACACAGGTCCCAGCTCACCATGCTGCAGTAAGACAAAGTCAATGGCCCTGTAGAAATCTAGGCTTTGTCTCTCATCTTCTTGGGAACATTCAGCCTTCTGGGAAACAGCATAAAAGGGAAGATAATCCCGGCCTTCTGATTTTTTTGTTTTTTGGTTTTTTGAGACAGGGTTTCTCTGTGTAGCTCTGGCTGTCCTGGAACTCACTCTGTAGACCAGGCTGGCCTCAAACTCTGAAATCCACCTGCCTCTGCCTCCCAAGTGCTGGAGTTAAAGGCATGCGCCACCACCCCCCGGCTAATCCCAGCCTTCTGTACACCCACCATCAAGACAAGTGAAAAGAGCAAGACACCAATGACAAACTAAAGAAAGCAGTTCTACCAGCACCCAGTCCAGACCATTCTCTTCTTTTCCCTTCTCACTTCCCCCATCAACTTGTCTCCAACATCTAATTAATCTGGTGTGACATGAAAATTGCCCAACAAAACAGACAAAGACACTGGGACCCAGAGACCCACACAGTCAACTCTGTCACTTGGAATAAGTCAGAGCCAGAAAAGCATCTAATTCAGGAACTTGCTACATGAACCCAGGGGCACCTGCCTTACCTTTTTATACCTCCATCTGTCTCTGGCCTCTAAGATGACTAGCTCTGAATTACACCTAGGGAAGGTAAAAGTAACAGAAAATCATGTTCGACTACACTAGAGAGAAGACTGATTAACACATCCAAGTAAGGAATGTACCACCTTGCAGATAGTAAATTCCCCCAGCACAGAGAGAGTTCAAACAGATACAGAACAATGACTTGTAGGAATTAGGATGTGAACAGCTTGTCATGATAGGTCAGTGGAGTTGATCTGTAACCAATCATGTATCTTTCAATCCTGATGCTTCAGCTTCCACTTCCCATACACACGAGGGAGCAGTGTGTCTTGCCGAATGAAATCTGTCTTCCATAAAGAAAATATTAGATCCCACTAATACTGTCACTGCTGATCATGAGGTCATGGGTTTGGTGAATAGGCTCAACACCAGAAAGAGGATTTAACCAGGGCCTTGTCAATCTGTAAACAAACACTTAAAATGCAACTGAGCAGCTGCCAGTTATAGGAGCCCTGAGAGTATTTAAGTAATGCAACCATCAACCCTAACTTGACTATTTTGTTAACATGAGTTTTAAAGGTTGCTGGAAAGGGATGCAGCCATTACAGGGCATGTTCTACTGAAAACCCAGCGTTAAAATTGAGGGAGTAGACAGTGGACATCGCTGAAGTTTTGGTTAGGGAGCCTGTGCACCCAGCCACAGGCAGGCACACCTGAGCCATGATCCATGTACAGAGGTCCTCACAGGAGCTGTCTTCTCTGTTCTCATTTCTGTCCAAGGTTATTTTTATGTCTGATGTATAGACATAAGTAAAGGCCAAGCAGCTTTGTCAAGGTCACAGGCACAACTGAGACTGGAAGCCTGTCTGCCTCTGCCTTCTGGTTCTCAGCTGTCCCACTACAACAGTCCACACCATGCTGTGAGCCCTCTGGGAGCCAGCATTCCTCCGGACATGCCAGGGTACAGCTCAGCCTATCCTAGCCATGCAGAGGAGCAGCCAGAGGATGTTTTCTTTCTCAGCTTAGCCTTTTTGTCACCTCCAGCCTACCCTACCCTCCAACCAAAGAACTTGGTAATGAAGCCACAGTCTCAGTCTCCAGGAACAAGCTCTACAACCTACAGAAGCCCTCTGTAAAGACAAAGTTGAGGAGTTGAGTCTGATCAAAACCTAAGAGCTGGCTGCAGTCCTCCCTCAGGTTGAGTCACTTTAAGGCCCTGTCCTCAAAGTACCCCAGGCAAGAATATTCCCACACTCAAATTCTCTTCTCTGGTGCTTTCTCTGGCCGAAGCACCATCTTAGAGTGAGTCTGGGTCATAGTCTGAACAGCAGAGGGACTATAAGAGAAGGGGCTGAGCTGGGGGAGGCTGACTCTAATAGGGTAGCAGCTATGCAGAACAGAAAGGCTCAAAAGTTGAGACTCAGCAGGGCCTCAGAAAGTTGGTTAATGTCCCGGCAGTATGGTTCCCGCTGCAGGATGAAGTCCACCTTGTGGTCCTGACCCCAAAACACTTCGAGCAGCTGGCGCCGGAGCCGCTCTGTCTCCCGGGTCTTCCGAATGCCACCATTGCCCTTCTCCACTTCCTTCCCCTGCTGCTGATTACTGTGTTCTGTGGAACCTCTGGAGGGCTGCTGAGACTTAGAAGAGCCCTGTTTCCTGGAGAAAAAGCAGAATAAGAACTGATAAGCACTCTGGAGGAAAACTGGGCCTCCAGGAACCTCAGCCAAGCAGACCTATTTCCAGCTGTAGGAGACAAAATTTGTGAAGTTTCCTAAGCAAGCCACTGAGTGGCAGTATTAACCACCTAGGAAGACAGATCCCTAATGAGATGTCCTTATTTAATCACTTGTTAATGAGCCAAAGGAGGGTTTGGGGTAAAACCGGCTATCACTACATGCAATCACCTCCCAAATAGATCCATCAAACACACTGACCAGAAGAGAAAATAAAAGTTCCTCTAACTAGTACAAAGGTCTGTGTCAGGACTCCCTGGGGAGATTTTAAAGGGCAGGCCAGCAAACTCAAGACTACTACAGAAATTAAGCCAGGCCTGCAGAAGTAGGGCCATTACCTGACTGGCTTCTTCAGGAATTCATCCAGGGTGGGGCCATTTCGCCCAAGTGGGTCATCTGGGACCATGAAGAGGTTCCCCACAAAGGTGAAGGGCAGCAGGCTAGAAGAGGAAAGAGGAAGTCACAGAAATGACCTCGCCAACTCCCAGGCATCTGGGACCAACATCACCAGGAGCTACTGGCTATCATCCTTTGAGGCATCTTCAAGCCCTTTTCCAGGATTCTCACCCAGTGGCCAGAGAAGAGCTGGTTTAGAGAAAGGTCTGAGCCGGTGCCCTATTCTCTCACCGCTCTCTGATGATCGCCATCCACTTGTCGGACTCCTCCGCCAGATCCCGGAACTGGTCGTTGGAGACAATGATCCCGTCAGTCTCTTCAGCCAGCTTCACCATGAACCTGTCTCAAAACACAGACGCCATTCTGGGACTCTCCAAGGATCCGACCCCACAGTAGGCTATCAGTGCCTGTGATCCACTTCCGGTGATGGAGGTCAGTCTCCCAACTCATTTACGTAACTCAAGAAGGGTGAGGAGGGCTTCTTGGGAATTGAGCACAGATCCTCACACATCCTAGGCAAGTGCTTTACCACTGAGACAGTAGATAGGTAGGTAGGTAGATGAATAGATACATAGATAAATAGATATAGAAAGATATAGACAGATGAAATAGATGATAGATACATAGAAAACAGATAGATGACCAACAAATAGACAAACAGGTGATAGATGATAGATACATAGAGATAGATAGATGAGATAGATAGATAGATAGATAGATAGATAGATAGATAGACAGATAGATAGACAGACCAATAGGTTTGGGCAGAGCAGGGAGACAGGCAGAATATGGTGGTATACACCTTTAATCCCAACACCAGAAGCCTCTGCTTCAGGAGGCAGAGACAGGTGAGTCTCTGTGAGTTCTAAACCAGCCTGGTCTACATAGTTCCAGGCAAGCCAGGGCTACATAGAGAGAACCTGCCTCAAAAACAAACAAAAAAAAAAAAAATTGGAGACAGGATCTTGCTAAGTTACTCAGTCTAGCCTTGAATTTGTTCTGTAGCCCAAGCAGGTTTTGATCTCTCAATCATCCTGCCAAATGGCTGAGATCACAGCCTGTGCCTCCATAATCAGCTTCTCTCCTCAGCATCACCCAGCTGCATGTGACTAACTGAACATAGACAGAGGTCACAAGGTGGTGGGTAGACTCTAGACGTTTAAAATCAAAGAGATCCAGCCCAGCCCACATCCTTCTCAATGAACAACCCTTCCTTCCTGTAAAACACAGTCACAATAGGCCTTCCTTCCCCCAGTCCCTGAAGTGCTTGATTTACAGAGGATCCTGGACCAACTCTTGCCCCAGAGTTCTTTCTCCAAGTCATGCACCTAGTTAGAAGTGTGTAGTCAGTATCTGAAAGGCATTTGTGGTACAGAGAAGACCAGGAACAGGACCAGGTATGACAGGCGTTTGGGAAGCAAGCTAAGCGGATGTTCTGTTCTGTGTACGTCACAGAGCCGCTTTCTAGCTAAGCAGGTTACTGCCTCAAGTGAGGATACATCCTGCTCTGCGGCTCATTTGCTAGGCCCTGTTGTGCTCTACTGCACTGATTTTCCATAGTGAAGAAACATTCCAAGTTTATATCATGTACTCATGAAGTTCTACACAACTACGCATTAAAACCGACTCAGTCTCCAGTATTAATTCTGTTACAGTGTTGATGTGGACAACAGGTTACTGTCTTAGATAAACTGAAACCTAGACCTAAAACAAAATAGCAGCACTTAGGCAGAAGCAGGAGGATTGCCACAAGCTCAAAGCCAACATGGCCTACGCAGATGAAGTACCACTCTGTCCCAGGGCTTCACAGTGAGATCCTATCCAAAAAACACCCAGTCGCATCTGGAGTGTCCTGGTTAGGTTTGGGGTTTTTGGGGGGTTATTTGTTTCAGTTTTGTTTTCAACTTGACACAATATAGTTATTTAGAAAGAAGACCCTCAGTTGAGAAAAATGATTCATCAAATTGCCTATAGGCAAGTGTATGAGACATTTTTATGATTGTTAATTGATAAAAGTACCAGCCCATGGAGGGCAGTGCCACCTCTAGGCAGGTGGCCCTGGGTGGTATAAAAAAGCCAGCTGATGGGCTGCAGAGATGGCTCAGTGGTTAAGAGCACTGACTGCTCTTCCAGAGGTCCTGAGTTCAATTCCCAGCAACCACATAGTGGCTCACAACCATCTGTAATGGGATCTGATGCCCTCTTCTGGTGTGTCTGAAGAGAGTGACAGTGTACTCATATACATAAAATAAATAAATCTTTAAAAATAAAAAAAAAAAAGAAGAAGAAAAGAAAAAGAAAGCCAGCTGAGCAAGCCAGCATCCTCTGCAGTCTCTGCACCGATGCCTACCTCCAGGTCCCTGCCCTGACCTCCCATCAGAGGTGATTATTGCCAAAAAGTTTAAGATGAAATAAAACCCTTCCTCCCCAAGCTTCTTAGGATCGTGACAGCAATAGAAACCTAACTAAGACACAAAGAAAGTGAAGTACCTTTTGTAAAATACTATTTACTTCTCAGAAGTAAAAGTCTGGAAAGATAAAACATATAACCACTCTGCCGGTTAGCTTTTAATTGTCAGTTTAATACGATCTGGAATCACCTGAGAAGCATTCATAATGAAGGATTATCTAGATCAGGTGGTCTGTAAGAATGTCCTTAATTAAAGTGGAAAGATCCATCCATTATGAGTGGCACCATTCCCTAGGCAGCAGATTCTGGATCGTATGAGGAAGCAAGCTGAGCACTATCATGTAAGCATTCATTGCCCTCTGTTCCTGACTATGGATGTGATGTGACCGGCTCCCTTAAGTTCCTGTTACTGTGACTTCCCAGCTATGGTGGACCATAACCTGAAACTGGGAACTAAAAGTATCCTTCTGAAAGTTGCTTTTTTTTTTTTTAAAGATTTATTATTATTTTATGCAACTATGTGGTTGCTGGAAATTAAACTCAGAACCTCTGGAAGAACAATCAGTGACCTGAGCCATCTCTCCAGCTCTTAAAATTGCTTTTTAAATTTGTGTGTGTGCTGCCAGGCGGTGGTGGCATGTGCCTTTAATCCCAGCACTTGGGAGGCAGAGGTAGGCGGATTTCTGAGTTCGAGGCCAGCCTGGTCTACAGAGTGAATTCCAGGACAGCCCGGGCTATGCAGAGAAACCCTGTCTCGAAAAAGCAAAAAAAAAAAAAAATTAGTGTATGTGTGTGTGTGTGTGTGTGTGTGTACTGTGTACATAAATGTGACACAATGAGAATGTGAAGATCAAAGAACAACTTGTGGAAGTCAGTTCACTCCTTCTACCAGTTAGGCCCAAGGACCCAGCTCGGGTTGTATGTGTCTGCACACACACATGGAGGGCTCACAGAGCCGGATTAGGGTGTTAGATGTCTCAGAGCTGTGTGCACTGCATGGTATGGGTGCTGGGAAACAAACTGGTCCCTGAAAGAGCAGCAAGCACTTTTAACTGAGCCACTGCTCCAGCCCCTAAGTTGCTTCTTTCAGAGTATTTTATCACCACTATAAGAAAATAAACTGGGGTTGGGGATTTAGCTCAGTGGTAGAGCGCTTGCCTAGCAAGCGCAAGGCCCTAGGTTCGGTCCTCAGCTCTGAAAAAAAAAAAAAAAAAAGAAAAGAAAAGAAACTAAGATAATCACTGGGATCTGGAAACTAATTTTTAAAAACTGAATGAATGTCCTAAGGAATAAGTATTCATAGTTGTTGAAAGATTTTAAATAGGGCCGGAGAGATGGCTCAAATTTAGGAGCACTTGCTGTGCAAGCCTAAGACCTGCATTTGGTTCCCAGCATCCACAGCAGGGACTCACGGTGGCCTGCAACTCCAGCTCCAGAAGACCCGGTACCCTTTTTGGGACCCTGTGGGCACTAGGCATGTACACAGTGCCTATCCATGCATGAAGGCAAAACACTACTACACATAAAATAAAACGTAACTTTTAGAAAAAATTAAAAACAGCTAATTAGCTTTAAAATGCACAAGTTTCCACACTACATGTGCACAAGTGTGGCAGGAGTAAACCCTATGTTTTCTGTTTTGCCTACATGGTAACCTTAAATTCTAATTTTCTATTTCCAAGGGAGTTAACAACTCAGCCTCTGTCTCTACCTCTGTAAACAGAGATGATATTTTATGTATCACATTTTGCCTTTAATTTTTCTTTTTAGTTTATTGAAACAGGGTCTCACTTTGTTGTCCAGGCTAGCCTGAAATACACTTTGTAGCTCATGCTGGCATCAAATTAATGGGGACTATCCTGCTTCAGTCTCTCATGTGCCGGGACAACAGGAGTGACTACCACACCCAGCTTCATGCAAGACTTAACTGGGCCCATCCGATGTTAAGAAGGAATGTCGCTGGACTCCTACTTAGCACTAGGGACAAGGCAAGCACACATACTTTAGCTTCTTTTGAAATTCACAAGGAGGTAAATGAATGGAGAAGGGTCCTGAGACAAAGAGGTTGATTTGATTCACTAAGAGGTAGGGCCTAGGCCTTGGAGAAAGCAGATCACTAAGGAAACCTGGGATCTGATTCCAACATTCCTTCCATCCTGAGTCAGGTGGCCTCTCACCATACCCTATTCCAGACACTCCTGGAATTTAAAGATTGGGTTTCTGCATTCTATTTATTTAAAGGTTTGCTCTCCCTTTCCCAGAATGTTCAAACAATTTCTCTACATTTGGGAATTCTGTCCACTATTTATGCCACCAGCTTTTGCAGATCTCAACTGCACAGTATTTTCTAGACAATAAAGCACTTTATATAAATATGAGGTGAATAATGAGCAGGCAAACGACCGCTCACTGTCTACAGGCCATCTCCCCTCACCTGCAGAGCTGAGCTACCTACCCCATCATTTGTTCCTCGGAAACTAACTCCACTACTGAGGCTAGAAGGCGGAGGTCGGGAACATCTCTGTCGCAAATCCCACTAGACTCCTTAAATATCAAACTTGGGGCCAGGAGAGGAACAGTTACCTGTCATCATAAGAAGAAATCCTTTTGCCATCCATGACTCGTGAGGGTGTCAGGGAAAGTAGACTCAGGGAGTACAGCTTCTGCAGGAAGTGACTCTCTGTAGAACAAGGTACAACAGGGTTCTCAAGGTGGACCCAGCTTCGCCAGGACACAGATGACCAGACCCAACTTACCTCTGACCTTGGAATCCTTACTGAAGCGCCACTGAGGCACAAAGACAGTTATGTCACGGTGGCCACGGTCCCAGAAATACTGCACAGCAAGAGCAATGCCCCGACTTGAAAAGTAATGCTGGAGGCCGTGCCTATAATGGAAAACATCAACGCTCAAGACCCAGAGAAGGCTGCAGTATCAGCCCCTCAGCAGCTGTCTCCAAAACAAAGAGGTCTGTCTCATCCTCCCTCCGCAGAACTCAGTCCCACCAGCTACTTACACCATGGCCACGTTGCTGCCATCAATGACAATATGACGGAGATCTGGCTGGCCAGGCACATTGGCAAGGCACAGGGTGAAAGGATCCTGTAAGGCTTCCTGGAAACGCTGTGTGCCAGTCACCAAGTTGCCCCCACGAGTGCCTCGTTTCCACGGAGACCCTCGACCTCGAGCCCCAGCCTGCTGCTTGTCTCCCCTGTCTCCCCGATCTCGATCTCGGTCTCCACAGGGCCATGGGGGTTCCGGCGCAGGTGGAGGGCTAGGCACTCTTGGAGGTGAGGTGTTCCCATTATGGAGCCGCTGGAGGAGAGAGGCTCCCCGAGTTGGAGCTGCCCTCTGACAAGGCACATGCGCACCAGAAGGTTCACCCTGCACACTGAACCCTCCTCTTAGCTGAGGAACCTCCTGTTTCCCCGAGGCCTTTCCTTTCAAGGGTGTCACCTCCTCTGCTCCTCCACCTGCTGGCTGTGACCTGTAAGCCACTCCTGCCTCCCAGACCTCTTCCCCAAACAGCTCCTTCCGCCCTGAACCCATGTCCCTGACTGCATCTTGTTTCCTTCCCTCCTTCTCCACAGTATGACTTTGTCCTCTCACTGGCCACGACTTTCCCCACCCTGCCACTCCAGTGCCCAGGAAGTCCCTGCCTTCATTCAAGGGAGCCCTGACTCCCTGAAACTGAGAGCTCAACAGACCTGAGCTCCCGACCTCATGGAAGGGCAGTGTCTGTGGCCCCTGCCCTCTGGATGCCTCCTGCACCAGGCTTAGGAGCTCCTCCTGCACAGCCAGGGGCAGCTCCAGCAGGGCCTCTGTGTAGGCATCCTCCCTAGTCTGCAGCAGGGCAGAGAAGTCTCTCAGCACTCCGCCATTGTCAGGGGCTCCAGGACAAGACTGTAGCTGAAGGTCCCAGCTCAGCCTCTGCACTAACTCCTCCACCCGGCTCTGGGCCATTACAAACGCCTCAGTTAGGCCACTGATCATCAGAGAACCAGGAACCAGAGGCACCAGGTGGGCAGATGTGCTCCAGGCCAGGCAGTCAAGGAAGAAGCCTTGGGCTCCCAGAAAGACGCACTGCAGTCTGGGTGGGTAGTGGATTTCACTCTGTAGTTCTGGGCTGCAGAGCCCCTTCAGGTATTCCTAGATGGGAAGGTCAGAGAGGAAACTTCTAGAAGCCATCCCTTTCAGGTTCACTGTTCTTCCTGAGCTCCAAGCGATTACATCATCTAAGTAGATACTGTTACTATTCACACTGTAGACATATCAAAATTTAAGAACAGACCAGAGGGCTGTCAAGTGGTGGAGCCAATTGGCTTTGGGTCCAATGGGGGTGGGGGAAATGTGGCCAGCCCCCTCTCAACCCCAGGGAATTCCTTAGCAAGGCCTACCTGTACAGTGGGGATTACCCTACTATCCCCAAGAACAAGAAGTGATTTGTTTTTAAATGCCTGCAGAACCTAGGCCATCACAGCAGAAGTGAAACCAAAATTCTAAATTAAAAGAGCCGCTGAGTTCCTCAAAGCTCAGGACAGAGGCAGCCAATAAGACAGCAAAGAGGCATTTCCCAGCCCCTCCTACGATCCTGCCTAGAGGAGGGGCAGCGTAGTAAAAGGCTTTGTAGCAGCCCTAAAAGGAAGAGGAGTTCACCTTGGCTCTGCAGATGTTCTCCTTGGGGCCCTCAAGCTGCAGCCAGATATGAGGGTTCTCTGGGCAGTCTTTGGAGAGGACGCTCATTCCCACGCTGAAGATACGCTCCAAGCGAGCCTGCTGCTCCCGAACCTTGTCCTCTGCCTCTGCAGACACCGCAAATCGGTCGGGAGTTGGGGAGGCAAACCCCCAAACAGACATGGCTTCTACCTGGAGTCCTGGAAGGGCAGAGGCAATCTCAAAGTCTCTCTCTCCCTTCAACCCAAATCCTAATCACACAACATACATCCAACAATCAACAGGTCGCACCTAGTTACAGAACTGGTAAACAACCCAAGGAGGTAGCAAGTCACGGGTGGAGAGTATAGAAAATTATCTGTACACAGGCCTCTCCCAGAGCCTAAGTCCTTCATCAACAAGGCTATCTGGGATGGGCGACAGGCCAGAGGAAACTGATGACCACCGCCCTGAGGGGAAGGGTGAGCGGGCCTCCAGCTCATTCTGTGTGGGTCACAAGAAATGGGTGGATGAAGAAAGAGTCTCAGAGCTGAGAGGTCTCGGATTTTTTGAGTAGAGGAGGGCCTCTTGGAAAATGAATACGCGCCAGAGGCTCTATCTGTGTAGTCCTGGGGTGGGGGGTTGCCCCTGTCCGCCTTATTCCTTCACTAACCTTTCCCACCTCCCCGCCCGCCCCCGCAGCTGTCCACGGCCAAGCACTCCACCCGGGGCCCGGGGCTATCCCGCCCTCCCACAGCCTGCGGCGGCCGCCCTCAGCTCGACCACCCTCCCGCCGCGGCCTTCTGCTCCGGCGCCGAGAAAGGGCGCGCCTACCGCCAAAGCCGCGAGTTCCGCCCGCTCCTCTAGATGCCCGCGGGGTTGGGGGAGCCTCTCCCGCACCCCAGGGCCCTGGGGCTGAGAGCCGGAATCGGAGAGGCCCTCTCGGGTTCTTCACCCAACCTAGACTTCGCTCGTCAACAACGCGTTGTGGTCTCGGAGTCACTTTCCGGCCCGGGGCGGAGTCATCCCGGCTCCTCCCCCGCCAGGGCTGCACTGGCCTAGGCTCAGGGCTGCGCGCCTCCTCCCGGGCTCCGCCTCCTGTCCTGCTGCCGAGCGACCCGCCCTCCACATCTCCTGCGGGGCCTACCCGGTCACCAACACTCACCCCGCCCCCAACGCCTCCTGCCAACTCTCACGTTCGCCTCCAGTTCCTGGGGTCCTTGCAGGTTCTCCACAGTTGAAGGTTCGAAGAGGGGAAGTGACTGGTCCGGAGTCACAAAAGAATCCTGCCCTTGGCACGAGCCCTTTCACTAAGTAGATAGATTGGGGGCGTGGGGAGGTGGGGGGGATGAGGACACACTTTGCAACAATAAGAAAGACTCCATGGAGAAAGAAAGATTGTGGAGAATGCTGAAAAGAAGATGAGGAAGAAATTGAAGACACTTGGTTTCACACTCCAGTGTCCATGGTGTGTGCGTGTGTGTGTGTGTGTGTGTGTGTGTACACACCCTTGTGTGGCTAGAGCCCTCGTGTCCTCTCTGCATTCCTCTTCTCCCTCCCAGGGCCCAACTGCTGTCACTCCAAGCTCTGCCAAGGAGGAGGGAGGGATCCGCAGCAACAGCAGTAGTAAGGCCAGGCAGAGCTGTGGGACACAAAAAGATACAGGGAGGGGAGTGCCCAGGCTAGGTGCCAGGCTCACAGAGGACAGAAGATCAGGGCAAGAGAACTGAAGCCTTGAAGCAGAGGAGGGAGAGCAAAGGGGACAGAAGACAGGGAAATCCGCGGGTTACGGAGGCACCTACCAAGGATGGGGACAAAATGGCACAGCCCCAAGCTGTCCTTGACCCTGATGCTTCTAACACTGGAGGCTGGGTGGGCTCAAGAAGGGTCGGAGCCTGTCCTGCTGGAGGGGGAGTGCCTGGTGGTCTGTGAGCCAGGCCGGCCTGCTGCAGGAGGACCTGGGGGAGCAGCCCTGGGAGAGGCACCCCCAGGACGAGTGGCGTTTGCTGCAGTCCGAAGCCACCACCATGAACCAGCAGGAGAAACCGGCAACGGTACCAGTGGTGCGATCTACTTCGACCAGGTAATCCCTCTGCCCCTGTTTAGAAGCCATCCACGGACCTGGACTCTACTGTCCAAGCCACTTGGCATCCCTCAGACTGCAAGAAAACCATTCCCTGCATCTCTTGCTCCACCTTCTAAAATGGCCACCAACTGTTTGCCTTCTTTGATTCACACACACAGCCGTCTTAACCCTTTCTCATAGCTTTTGAGTCTACAGATTCCTGTCAAACCTGTTTGCTGCCCCTTCTCTCCTCACTCATTGTACAAATGCCAACCCCAGTGATGTCGCCCCTGAGCCCTGGGCACCCAGAATCCCTCTCATCAGGATCTGCTTCCCCAGGTGCTGGTGAATGAGGGCGGTGGCTTCGATCGGACCTCGGGCTGCTTCGTGGCCCCTGTCCGTGGAGTCTACAGCTTCCGATTCCATGTGGTAAAGGTGTACAACCGCCAAACTGTCCAGGTGACCTGAGTGCTAGCCCACCTCTGGGGGAGGGGAGGGTCACAGTGGACCGCAGTGCATCCCTGGGTAGCCCTTTTATTGACCAGGGAGCCAGGAGCAAGGGAGGAAAGGTCCTGGCTAGCAGGGTATGGCAGATGTACAGAGCCCAACACCGGCCACCCCTCAGTGCCCACTGGAGAGCCTACTGAACCTCAGGTTCCCAAAGGGAAGCTCTTGGGAAGATGGCGGGCCCTGAGCTAAGGACTATTGCATAGATGCTAACAGGGCCCCCCTCTCCAGGTGAGTCTGATGCTGAACACATGGCCGGTCATCTCAGCCTTTGCAAATGACCCTGATGTGACCCGAGAGGCAGCCACAAGCTCTGTGCTGCTTCCCCTGGACCCGGGGGACCGTGTGTCCCTGCGCCTTCGTCGAGGGAATCTTCTGGGTGGCTGGAAGTATTCAAGCTTCTCCGGCTTCCTCATCTTCCCACTCTGAGGACCATGCCTTTAAACGACAGATATCTCGTACCTGACCCTTCTGCCCTCCCCTGCCCCAGAAACAAGTATCTTTGGAGCAAGAGAAAGGCCCCCTCCAGGCTGCCTACGGCCGCCTCCTTGCATGAGATCATATCTAAACACCTAAGGCTAGGCATAGAGAAGAGAAGAGCTATTGAATCCCTAACACTCCTCACCCCGACCTCTCTCTCGGCTGCCTGTCCTGCCCGCAGCCCTGGATTAAGGCCGGATTTGCCCAGAGGGAAGCTTGCGCTTCTTCAGACTCCACTCAGCCTGTTCTCCACCCCAGCTTCCTGCTCAGTGCTATTTGGTGACAGGTGGTGCAGGTAGGCTTGACAGGCTCCCACAGGGGCCCAGATGGACCAGCCTCATAGTACCTGCAGGCTCCATCCTGTGAGGAATGCCAACAATGAGAGCTCTCAGCCAGCACCCTGTGAACAGGGCTGACAGCTCAACCACAAAAAGCAGTGTAGGGAGGGCCACAGAGCATCCGTAGCTGGCGAGACAGGAGGGGACCATGTAAACGTTCTGCAGGTAAACTGGGAGAGTCAGAAGACAAGAATCTGCTGTCCATCTGTGCCAGGTCCCAATGGACTCTGGCCCTCATCTCCTGACCAGAGGGGTGTGTGTGAGTGTGTGTGTGTGTGCGTGCACGCACACGCGCGTGTGTGTTTGCTCCGGTTAACAGGAGAAACTAGAGCAGGTACACAGACCTGGAGGCAGGGTCAAAGGTCACGCATGAGTCATCAGTTAACCACAAGTCCTCTTCCTCCACCTCCTAGAACTGCCCCACCTTTGAAATCTAAATTTCAGTCACTCCCCACTCTTGACTAACACCTAGTTCCTCCAGCTGTCTCCCAGCTTATTTCCCTGTACCTGTAGCCTGTGTTTCCCCCTCCCCCAAACCCAACCCCACCCCCCATCGCTCTTCCTCTAGACCTGCAATGTCTTGCTCTCCTGTTACCTGGGAGTTCATGACTCATCCCTCCAATTATTCTCCCACCAACATCAGAAACTCTCTGTTACCTGGTCATCCCAACGGTCCAGCGTGAATGGACCTATCTAGAGCAACTGAGGAGCTGCAGCTGTTAACAGGGTGCACTTGTGGTGTGTTAGTGAGGGTGCGGTTTGGAACAGGGACGACAGGATTGAAGCACATATGGCATGTTGGAGAGAAAATAAACTCAAAGCTGAGCATCCTAAGAGTCAACGTTTTTAAAAAGCTATCATGTATAGTCCTCATGCTAAATAAATACCAGAACAAGTTTCAAAATAAAAATCTAGGTGTTCATTCAGGTGACAGAGGCAGTGGCTCTCTGTGAGTTTCAGGCAAGCCATAGTAAAACCATGTCCGAGAGAGAGAGAGAGAGAGAGAGAGAGAGAGAGAGAGAGAGAGGAGAGAGAGGAGGAAGGAAGAGAAATAAGAATGTAGGTGTAGCTCATAGACAGAAGCACGTGAAGCACCAGGTTTGAAACCAGGCACTGGGTTAGTGGGTAGAGAGTAGACAAGAGGGTGGGGAACACTTTCCTTCAGCATTTGTCCTTACTTTGTGACCAGGAAGAATAGTTTAAACAAGATGTTTCTGTCTCAAGTCGAAGAATCTGCCACTGGAGAGTTCAGGATACATAGCTACTTATAATCACAAAAGCCCAGTCTCCCCTTTTGGGACGCCTCTTTGGCATGCCACCTCATGGCCCAAGACGGCTCCCTGTGTGTCAGCCATTACATCCCAGCAGCATTGGAAAGAGGTAGAGAAGAAAGGACACAGCTCCTTCCTTGGAAGGTTTTCTGACAGCTGCCTACACACATGTCTGATTACATCCTGACATTGAGTTGCCAGAATGGAGCCACACTCTGTGTGTGTGTGTGTGTGTGTGTGTGTGCCGTCAGGGGACAACTTTGGGTGTTGGTCCCCACCTCCTGCTATGTTTGAGACAGGGACTCTAATTTTTCACTGCGTACACCACGCTATCTGGTCTGGAAGCTTCTGGAATTCTGCCTTCTCCTTAGAGTACAGGAGTACTCCTGTACTCTAAGGAGTACATCACTATGGCCAGCCTGACTATGAACTCAGGCCGTTAGGCATGCATAGCAAGTGTTCTAACCATTGGACCACCTCCAAAGCCCATAGACTTTATTCCAGGCAATCATGTCCAGCTAGAAGTCAGGAATCTTATAGTAAGGAAGAAGGGTAATTGGACATTGGAAGTTTTTCAGAATGCAATAGACTAGATCAACCTGTTAACACCAGGAGGTATAAGATGCTGTTTATTGATTGCAGTTTCTGTATGTCAACAGTCTTGAAAAGCATGGCTATCCTCTGATAAGGTTTCACAACATTGAAAATAAGGTGGAAGGCACTAGGTACCCTTCCTTCCCAGAAGGGAAGAGGGAAGAAGCCACTTCCAAATTCATTTAGCATTCAGCCCCCCCTTAGAACTGTGGTGCTGATATCCCAGGCTCCTCTGTTTTCAAGCTAAAAGCTTTAGACAGCCCTACCCTCTGACTCTCTCCAGCCTAAACCTGCCACATCTTTCTGATATCCATTCGAGAAGTTCTTGAAGTTCGAGGATTGGATGCTTAGACTGGACCCACCCAGAATATACTGAAGAATCTTTCTATTTTAAAGTCCCAACCAGCAGTGCGTTTGCAAAGTCCCCATGCCAGGTAACAGCATATTAAGATATCCTGGTGATTAGGGTATAGACTCTGAGATACCTGCATAACACAGACTTAAAAATCTCAAGATGACATTTTGAGAAAAAGCACTCAGCGCGGTTCACCCATCAAATGGGAGACACTAGTCTGACATCCAAGACAAAGAAGATCAACATAGGTTTTTGGTTTTGTTTTGTTTTAGTTTTTAGTTTATTTTTATTTTATTTGTATGGGTGTTTTGCCTGTGCACCACATACATGTACACAGCTCCGTCGGAGGCCAGACGAGGGCATCAGATCCCTTGAGACTGAGTCACAGGTGGTAATGAGCCACCATGTGGGTGCTGGGAGTGTAAGCTCTAGAAAAGCAGCCAGAACTCTTAACCACTATTCCATCTCTCCAGCTTCCTCCCTGACTCACACACACTCTGGTTTTAATCATTTTAGAAGGTAGATCAGTTCCTACCCAAACAAGAATTCGTTGGTTGATAGTCCAGAACTTCCTCTGCCATAAAATGCCAAAATGGCCCTCCTTTCTTTTGACCCAGAGTCAGATGGCATATCTTTAGGCCACACAGCTGTGTGGCCCTCGTTTTTATATTTGAGGACCAAATCCAAAACTTGGTCTGAGTGAGATAGTACCCATTTCATAACTACAAACTCATTTTTATGATAGTGGGAGTGAAGGTTTAAAACTGGACAATCCAGCTGAGTGGTGATGTCACACCTTTGATCCCAGCGCTCGGGAGGCAGAGGCAAGCGATTCTCTGTGAATTCGAGGCCAGCCTGGTCTACAGAGTGAGTTCCAGGACAGCCAGGGCTACGCAGAGAAACCCTGTCTTGACAAAAATATAAAACAAAACAAAACGGACTAATCCAGCCTAATGTGATGGTACACACTGGTAAACTTGGCACTTACGAGGCAGAAGCAGAAAAATCTGGAGTTGAAGGCTGTTAGGCTGAGCTACATAAACTCTGTCACATGTGCGCACACAAAACTTGTATAATACTGTAGTGATCTGTCTGCTTTATCAAAATGCTCAAGGCTTTTAAAGGCTCTGACCTATTAGACTTGCAATTCCATTAAAATATTCAGGAGAATTTAATTGAATTTGTAATCAATGTTTAAGTGATTTGACTTGTAAAATTCGTTGTAAAGATTGTTGATTTGTTGGCTATGTGTTTTTGTGTTCGGTTTTGCTTAAGTATGTTTCTATTAAATACTGAGGAAAGCCCCAAAGGCAGTGGGGTAGTCCTTTCTAGGAACCAAAGCTCCTTAGACTTGGAGAGCCTAAAAATTGAATCCACTGTCAACTTCCACTCTGCTGTCTTCCTGGCACCTAATTTGCACATAGGAAATAGACCAACGAGTGCAAACTGGGACTGGAGCCCCCTTCCCATACACACACACACACCCTGCTCCCACACTGGCCTTTCGCCCCTCCCACACCAGCCTTTTGCCCCTGCCTCTTCCACTGCTTTCTGGAGGTTGAACTTCTCCTCTGGTCCTGGTGTCTGTCTTCCTCCACCAACATTGTTTCCTCTGAGCACACGCCTTGCCTATGGTTCATCTCCACTCCTTCACTTCAGCAGTTAGATTTAAGAGTTTGCATCTCTTACATCTAAAAGAGAAAAGGTAGCGATCTTCAGCTCTCAAAACCACCGAACCCCTCAGCATCAATTCACCTCCTCTTTAGGCCTAAATGTCAGGATATAAACATCTGTGACCAGTTGCTGGCCAGGGAAGTCACTGGTGAAGTCTGGCTCTGTTGCTCTGCCCACACTGCTCTGGCCAGTCACCCATTCCCCCAGTGGTCGTGGTTGTTCCCATACATCGAGTCTTCATGCTGCTCAGGCTGTCCCTACCGTCAGATCCTGTTGCCCATGTCCTAACAGTGTGCTGCTGGAGCACTCTCTGGGTTTTCTGAATATCTTTCTGCCCATATCCCAACCCCTTTATGAGACTTGTCTGCCACTTTTTGTTTGTTCATTTCCTTATTTTGAGGCAGGGTCTTACCAGCCTGGTCTCAAGCCCCACAATCCTTCACTTTCAGCCTGCTGAGATGCTCGGGTTGCAGGCGTGCACCGCCATGCCTAGCTCACCCTTAAATGTTGGTTTCTCTCAAGGTTCTGTCCTGAACTTCTTTGGTCTTAACACACTCTCAATAACACCAGTGTCCGTCCACCCGATGAACACCTCCCCATGTTTACACCTCAACAGTAACCCTTCTGAACAGACCCCTGCATTCCACCTCTGCCCAACCCGCTGAGAATCACAGGCTCCACTCACAACCCTGTTCACTTTGTAATTTGAGCTTTCCTGTTGCCCAAACCAGAAACCAGTGTTTCTCCCGGGACTCCTCCTCACCAACACAGCAGCTGGTTCTGCTTATTGCTTTCCAACTACCCAGCTAGCAACTAGCAATCCTTTAGCTAGATTTCTAGAAAAGCTCCCTAACCTCCCCCTGGCCTTCAGTTCTCCTCAACCCTCAGTATGTTCTCTCTACTCCAGAATTGCCTTAGTGTTCAGTCTAAGAGACTGTCAAGCTTGAAAAGCTCCCAGTGGGTGTTGGAACAGCATGTAAAACCCTCATGTTGTGTGAGATGTCCCACAATCCAGCTGTTGGAACGTCATGAATAGCCCTCATGTTGTGTGAGATGTCCCACAATCCAGCTGTTACAGTCTCCCTAGCTTCATCGCTCATCACCAGTAAGAATGTGAAGACATACGAAGTCACATCATTCAGCCAATACTCCTTAGAAAATATAATATGGAAGTCAAAACTTCCTAGGATCAAGAGGATTGTTCTTGGACTCAACAGAAAAAAAAAAAAATCAGGATATGTTTGAATTTGTGAAGCATCTTAATCTGGACCAAACTGAAAAGGAGAAGATTATTTTATATTTTTAATTTTTTTCATGTGTATGATTGTTTTGCCTACATGTATGTATGTGCACTATGTTCATGTCTTGAGCTAATGAAAGTCAGAAGAGGGAGTTAGACAGCTGTGAGCTGCTATGTGGGTGCTGGGAAACAAACTTGGTTACCTCTGCAAGAGCTACAGCTGATCTTAGCCGCTTAGCTATCTCTTCAGTGCCCAAATGGAGAAATCTTAACTAACACTATGTGACGCACTAATAAAATACAGAGACACCACAGACTAAGGCATGGGGGCAGAACTCAACAGCAATGTTAAAATGCTGGCAGAGGAGAAGGTATGAGTGACACACGGTTCCTGAGTGGCATCAGATACATCATACAGACTCAGCCTCTCTTTTAGCCACATACATCTTCAGTGAGGTATCTCACCTCTCTGTGCCTCATTTTCTTCATCTGTAAAATGAAGCTATTAAGTGTGTCAGGTCTAGAAACACGCAGTCTAGTGCCTGGTGAATACTCAATATATCTGAGTTGTTAGTGTGTGAATTAGTAAACAATTAGAGAGCTGCGAGGTCCCAGGGGGTCTTGGGCAATCTCCAAAAGCAGATGGGATGCTTCGAGTCCTAGGCCCTTTACCTGTTTCAATGTTCCTCTCCTCCGGGTGTGTTCAGTTTTACAGTGAACACAAAGGTTTAGCCCAGGTGCTAAACTCACAGGTGCTTATGTGAGTTTTGACCCTAGGACAGGAGGGCTGTATGGTTTGCATTAGGTGAAGAGGCTGTCTATGAGGTGACTGTTTTCACTCCTTGCTCAGAAATGAGAAAGCTCAGCTACTGGTGCCCTGAGTGGGAACGCCACAGGTGGAAACAAAGGCGCTGATGTCTGTTAACACTGTCCACATACTGGGCTGTGGACAAACTATTTACTATCCAAAAAACAAAGGGACTCTCAGCCAGGCATGGTGGTCTGTGCCTGTAATCTCAAAACCTGGGATGTGGAAGCAAAGGGTCAGAAATTCTAAGTCAGCCTCGGCTACATAGTAGGTTGGAGGGTAGCCTGGGTTCCATGAAACCCTGTCTCAAAAAAATAAAAAGCAGAGGAACACACAAATCTCTACTAGAACCTTATAAAGTAACAGTAAGCAAAAGAACATTCTTAGAAATCAGTGTGCATAGGAGCTGATCATTGCTTCAAGCTATCTAGACTAGAAAAGGACGGGAATTTTGCTGACCACTTGTCCAAACGACCTTCCACTTTAGCACCCGTAATCTCTCACTCTCTGACCTGCACTAACTAGCGACCTTTGCTTTTGCAGGAGGGACTCTGGGATGGCCTTTCTGAATACCACAGGTCGAAGGCCTCAGCCTTTGCTCCACAGGCTCTAATATGCCTCATATCAAACCACACTACACTGGGTCTGCTTATCTTTCCCTTTGCCTTTGGGCTCCCAGAGGGAAGAGATTATGCCCTTCACATTACGTGTTATCCTCTCCACTCCTAGACAGAGCATGACACACAGTAGGGTGTGTTTCAAATAGGAAATAAATGGGGTTACATATGAGGTCACACTTCCCTCCTGCACTCCACAACCGTGCCAGCACCCGGCAGAAGTCTGACCATGTAGAAAGGGCAGCAGAAAGCCAAGGCCCAAAGTCAGAATGCTTAGCCAAGAGCAAGGACTCTGAACTTGAGGAAGAACAAGGGTTTCCAGTTCAGGAAGAGCAATAAACCCCCACAGGTACCCCCACTCTCTTTATCCCCCATTTGGAAAAAAAATTACTAAACATTGGGTCCATTTTAATCGATTTATTGAAAAATAAAATAAAAATCACTTGAAAGAGCATATGATCGAAATTGTACTTAACAGGAAGAGGGGTTTGAATAAAGCCCTGGGGTGGGAGAGTGAGTCTGACTAATATACGAAGGGGAGGGGGAGGCAAAAGTGAGTCGGTCTGAAGAAATACAGTACCTGCTAAAAATCCTACAGCTAACCTTTCAGCATCTGGGGGAGCACCCAGCATCCATTCCTGGGCAGCTGAAGAACAGCATCCAGGTAGTTTATCTAGAAAGGTGAGGAAATGACATCAAAGGGAACAGAGGTACAAAATCTGAAAGGATTCTCATGCTTAAACATGTTGCTAGAACCCCTGTCATGGTGACCTCGAAGTCAGGAAGGTTCATCAAAGTCCCAGCTCCAGCCCCACTGTAGGCAAGTCATTTCCCTCTTTCCTCTGCCATGAAAGAAGCTGGACTCAATGACAACTTCTCCTCAGGACTCAGGAGATTCTATGACGTCCTGTCTGGCAACCTGAGCTCAGCCAGACAACTGGATTGGCTCCTCAAGAAATGAGCTACTAGGAATCTAAGTCACAGTGGCCTGGTGCTGGCCTTTCTCTCCAGACTCTCAGCTGTGTAGAAATGCAGAGCAGCGAGAATCAGCCCTCATGATTATGAGAGGCCCACTCCCGCTGAGTGAGTGAGCTCTGCACGGCTGTAAGGGAGCTCTACTCAAAGGCAGATTCAGGGTACTGCAGCTGACCAGGACAAAGCAGTGCCACTAAGGAGATGGGTGTACTGCAGGCAGGAGAGGGTTGTGAGCTTTGGCAGGGGGTGAGAGGAGTCAGAAGGGGAGAGGAAAAGCCACCCAGTGCCTGGCCACGTATCGAACTACCCACGTCAGATGTCTTCCCCTTGAAGCAGAGCGTGAGCACCACTGAACCTAATAGAAGCAGCTCTTCCAGTACAGATGCCACGCTTGGTATCAAGGTCCTTGATTCCTGTGAGGTGACCACCATCACAGCAGGGGTCAGGAATCAACTCTGTTGACTGGAATCAAATGAGGTAGGCCAATTCATCCCTTGCACCTCCCCTTAGGAAGAGGTAGGTGGCTTATTGTTGATCACCTCCACCCGAAGCCATCATCCTGGAGGCACAGGAAGGCTACAAGCCTTTCTTAACAGTTGTCCTGGTGCTGGCAAAGGAGGCTGACTGGAGAATTGTTCCCTTCTTGCTGGCAGTGTGTGTCTGTGCCATTAAGAACTCCAAGGGCAAAGGCTTGACCAAATGTATGGTGTAAGGGGAGGCACTCACATGGGAGAGAGCCGTGATACCCACAGGGACATCCAAATACACACTATTAAGTGTAATATGTTGGGTGTCAGACACTGGAGAGAGGTGCACACACCAATATACACCTGAATGTGTAAGAAGGGAAAAGACAGCACTTGGGAAAGACTGTGAGCCCAGCCTACTTTGTCAAGGAGACTCTTTTGCCCCCAGGTGTAAAACTGCCAGAGCCCATATAGGACAACCTTTGGCACTTTCTCCAAACACCCCTATCTGGGGATGTTTTATAGGGACATTCATCCCTAGGTCAAGGCAATTCAGCAAAGCTCTACAAAGGAACTTCTCCACAAAAGGCACAACTGAGGGGCCCCAAAGAGCTGAGAGCACTGCTCAGATCAGAAGGGAGGACTAGCAGCAGAAATGTGGGACCCCTAGAACAGGCAGCTCCCCGACTGCTCTAACTCACTGCTCCAAGTCAAGGGACAGGGGTGTGTCATTCTTGGGAAAGGCCTTCATTAGACTGCTAGGATAGATGCAGCCCAGCTTGTCTGGGACTGGGAAGCCCCACACCCTATAAAGTGATAGGCTCAACCGGTCCCCAATATAGAAAGGACCCATCCATTTGGCACTGCTGCCATTCCTGGGGAGAGACAACAAGAGGACCTGGTCACCCACGCTCCACTCATTCTCCTGGCTCTCCCTCTTGAAACGCCTGTTCTCAGCCTTCTCGCTGGCCTTTTCGGCCACTCTCCAGTGGAGATCCAATAGCTCCCGCATCAGCTGCAGCATGAAAGCATCCATCTTGAGCCCTTCGATGTTGGCCCGGCTCATCTCCCACCACAAGGGCTCCATCAGCTTCATCTCACCCCCAGTCAGCACCTGGAATGGTGTGGCCTCTGTGGTGGAGGCCCTAAAAGCCAGATGCAGCAAGGGCAGAGAGGATGCCCACTTCTTGCCGTACAGAAAGATGAACTCCTTCAGGGCCCTCTTGAATTCCCAGTAGGCCTCAGAACTCATCAGACAGGGGAACTGGAGGGCCCTACTCAGTGTAGTCACTTGGGCTCCTAGGGCCAGCCCACAGCTCACCAGAACATGCCGGGCAAACTGGGGGCCTTGGGCTGCCTCCAGCCTTATGGGAATACCCCATCTTGCAAACACGTGCTGCAGTAGCACCTGGGCCACAGCCATGTGCGTGTAGGGCTTCAGAGGGAATGCCTCCACCCACCGGGTGTTGGCATCTGCCACAATGAGCACATGCTTATGACCCTCCTCGCTTACAGTAACTGGACCCACCACCTCAATCTGCAGACTGGACCAGGGAGCGGTCGACCTGAGAGGCCATGGGGACTCGATAACTTTCAACTCCCCACCTATGAGATTCCGGGGGATGCAGAACAAACAGCTCCTGCAGTAATCTTTCACGTGCTCCAGCATCCCAGGCCACCATCCCAGCAGCCTCAGTGTCTTATAAGTGTCCTCCAGGCCCTGGTGCTCCCCCATGGGGCTGTCATGCACAGAGAAAATCAGATCCCTCCGAAGTTGCCTTGGGACTACCCAGACCCTGGGATACTTTTCCGCCTTGAACATGAGCAGACCACTGCCTTGGTCCAAGCTGAGAGAGTTAAAGGCAGAACTGAAAGGGGAGGGCCCAGACAATTTCTGCCCTGCCTGCAGCTTGGCAATGATATCGGCCAGGGTGCTGTCACTCAGCTGCAAGGCCAGCAAGTTGGGCTTCCTGCCTTTAGTATGGGGAGTCACCACTGGCACTGGCACATCCTTTGGCAAATCCCACCACTGCCCGCCCCCTTGGGCACCCTGCTTGGCCAGAGTGTCCACTGTCACAGCAAAGAGAGAGCCCCGATAAGAGGTTCGGTAGATAAAGGGAAGGGATGAGAAGCCGGACGTGAGAGATATGATGTAGGAAAGGAGGCTTGGATGAGGTAGTGAAGCCCCGTCAGATGACAGGAAGCCCCGGACTTTCCAAAGTGGCAGGAGCTCCCAGAGGACGCTGAAGATCCAGTTGCAGTGGGTGAGGAAAACCACTGGGCGCTGGGACTGGCCAAAGCGCTCTAGGCCACAGGCCACGGCTGCCAGGTGAGCGTATGTGGATGTATAAGGGGAACAGGAAAAGGCAAGGGAGACTGGAGGGCTGGTGGGGGACAAGATGTAGAGACCAAACCCAGCACACAACTCGTCGTCACGGTAGAAGCAATAGCCAGACACATGAACACAGATAAAAGTAGACAGGTCAGAAGAAGGAGGCAGAAGCTGGAAAACTCGGGGCACTGAGGAAGCGGGTGTCAGCAGCTGGTTTTCCCCCAGCAGGCCCTGGAGAAGGGACAATTCCAATTCCCTCTTGCCTTTGTCCTGGAGCAAGAGAGACCATCGAATCAACCATGCTTTGGAAGCTCTACGGCTATCCCATGCCTCATTATCCACGGTGGTCCGGGAGGCATAGGAAAGACGTAGAACCACTGGATTGTCTCCAACACATCGGGAAAAATGCTTGAGGCCCCAAGCCACAGCATAGGGGCTGTCCCCCCCTGACTGAGGACCCTCACTGTCTTCATCGGGGAGGAGGGGTTTCGAGGTATAGGCGATAGGGTGCTTTCTTCCTGAGTGCTCCTGGTGCAGGCTAGCCGTCAGTGACACTTGGCTGACGGTCACTTCCAGGTAGAAGGGCAGGTTGGGGTTGGGGGTCGACAGGCAGAGGGCACACACTAGGGCTCGTTTCAGGGCCAGGAAGGACTTCTCATGCTCCTGGTTCCACTGCCAGTCGGGCTTCTGCTTGAGGAGGCTGTGCAGGGGGCCCACAAGGGCTTCATAGTCAGGGATAACGTCCCGGTGGGAATCCATAAAGCCCATAAAGAAGGAGAGTGCGGTGAAGTTGCTGGGGATGCTGAGCTGGGCAAGCTGGGAGAGGACCTGCTGACAGGGAGCCTTCCCATCCCAGGGGACGTCCAAGTGCGGAGATGACACCACAGGCAGAAGGTCAATGTCTAGAGCCCCCTCAGAGGGGTCATGCAGGCTGAGACACTGGAGGATTTCCTCAGAAAAGGAAGGGCATTCAACCCCAAACACTGATGCGGGGTTAGAGTCCTGCTCGTCTTCTTCATCCGGCTTTGGAATCCCTGGCTCCTCCATCAGCTCCTCTTCCAGGCTTTCCCCCACTTTCTCCCCTTCTTCTACATTCTGTGGCTCCTCCAAAGGTTCAGCATCGTCACCCAGCTCAGAGATGCTGGCTGAGCTGGGAGGAAGGGTCTTCCACACCTTCAAGAAATTACCAATGTCCATGTCCAACCTATTGCCAAAACAAGTAGAAAAATGAGAGGGGTGGCCTCAACCCCACAGATTATCTGAGGAGATATGATCACCCCACAGAGCCCACTCCACCCCTATGCGTCCGTCACTCTCGTAGTAGGGGTCAGTCAGGAGCCAGACCATAAATACTTGCTCTCTAGCTTACGCATGCTAGAACTTCACTCAAGAAGGGTTCTTCTAGGCTTTGAGAAACCTTAACCAAAACCAAAACCTTACTGACTGTAATGGTCAGTTTTAATTGTCAGCTTGACAATCAGCTGAGAAGGTGGTCTCAGTGAAGGACTGTCTAGATCTAGTACCTGTAGACAGATCTGTGAGGAATTATCTTGATTACATTGAGGTGAGAAGACCTCCCACTATGGACGGTTTCATTCCCTAGGAAGGAGATCCAAGAGTGCAAAATAGAGACAGTGAGTGAGCTGAGCACCAGCAAACACACATCTGTTGCTCTCTTCTGACTGCAGATATACCGCGACCAGTTCTTGCCAAGCTCCTGCCACTGTGACCCACCCCCCTCAAGAAAAAAAAAAATGTTAAGCTGAAATAACCCTTTCTCCATAGTTATTTTTATTGGGGTATTTTATCACAACAAGGAACAACACTAAATAAATTAAGACAATGAATCATTTAAGTTAGTTTTAAGCTAATGGCTTGGTAAAAAGATGCCTGGCACTATTACCTCAGGAAGAACATTCCAGGGAAAGGTCAGCATCAGAGGGGAAGCCTAACACAACAGAAAAGCCTCAGCTTCGTATCCGCTGATGGAATGAGATGAGAGATGGCTGGGGTGGGCAGGAAGCAGTGTCCTATCCACGGGCCCCAGAGCACCGGGGGATGGGCAGTCTATGTGGCTCAAACCGTAGAGAAGCCAGAGGGTCAGAGTTGCCACAAACTAGTTCTGCCAAAATGACCTTGGAAAACTGACTTGGGGCTCATCTATGAAATGAGACATATGGTCATTTACACCTAACTGAAATTGTGAGCACCAAAGGAGAGGAACATGACAGCGCAAATGTATACATGGCTCTCTTGAACATGAGGAAAGAAAAACAAGCCTGTTTCCTGTCCCACATCACCAACAGTCTAAAGCAGAAATAGTCAAATAGCCCCAGCCCAAGAATATGTTCTTTCTGCCTGCTAGACACACATGTAATGGAGTGTCACACAGCTGCTGAAGCGCACTACAGACATTTGCAATATGGCATAGCTCCAAGACAGCAGAAAAGGCGGAGCACAGACATCATTTGTGGAAATATGCATGAAAAGAAGGCACGTGGGAAACAGTAAAATCGTAATGTAAAGAGTGGATAAAAGCACCACAATGTGGTGGATGCTTAAAGATGTAAACAGGTCAAAGCGCCCGTTCACTATTGAGAACTAGATAAACGCTAACTAACACTAAGTTTCTGGTCAGTCCCAGGAATGCCTGCGAGGTAAAGGCCTGACAAGTTACCTGTTTGGCTTCTTCAGAAATTCCTCCAAGGTGGGGCCATCACGGCCTAGGGGGTCATCTGGTACCATGAAGAGACTCCCAGCAAACGTGAAAGGCAGCAGGCTAGACCCACAAGACACAAGAGAAAGAGGCAAAGTCATAGGTGAGCTCAAGATTCAGCCACATCCTGTTGCCTCCGCAGGTCTGTCTGTCAGTCTCTCTCTCTCTCTCTCTCTCTCTCTCTCTCTCTCTCTCTCTCACACACACACACACACACACACACACACACACACTTACCAGCAGGCACTGGCAAGCCCTACTCTAAGGCTTCCTTTCCTGCCTCACCACCTTCTCTGCCACAGGCTGTCTGACATCACTGGGAAACAGAGGCTCAAGTCCCTAGAGTGTCTCACCGATCTTTGACCATCAGTTTCTTGGAATTATTCATTAGGATGTGGATCTGCTCATTGGTGACAATGACTCCATCTGTCTCCTCCGCCAGCTTTACCATGAACCTGCAAGAGAAAAGGAAGTCACTAACCGACCGACAGCTAACCCCTCTCATTTCCTGGACCCTCTGGAAAATGAACTAGAACTCCCTGGAGGGTCAGACAAGGACTCTGCTCTCAGTGATCAAGCCAAGACTACAGAGCACATCCTCTCTTCCATGTGTCTGCCTGGGATCCCAGCATCCCCCAGAAGGTGGACTTGGTTGCATAAACCCCCAAATGTATACACAGCCACACACCCCTCTCACACATGCAGCAGACTCATGCAACACAGAACCCATCCTCTGGTCATGTTCACACATGAGTATTTTCTGCCCCCATTTTTTCACCTGTAAATGTAGATAAAATACCTGCCCCGTGTTGCTGTAATAATTAAACTGAGTCCAATTCAGTGCCTAGTGCACAGCACATAATATTCTTCATCAAGGCACAATACTCACATCCGTGCAAAGATGTACATCCACATAACAAAACATAAAATCACATGGCTTAATAAACAAACCCACTCCTCGCCCCCCCCCCCAGGATCACTTTCCTTCTAAGGAGGGCCTTAACCAGGAAAAAGAGCATTCTCTGGGATTTCACACGCTGTTCTCCAAGTGCCCAGCAGAGGGCGCTTCAACAGAAACGTTATCCTCCCTTAAACCTTGCCTGGAGGATTTAACTCGAACTCACTCATCTGGGAGATGGGAAGCTTGCCTGGCCCTTCCCAGCCCTTCCCAGGCTTAACAGCTGTATGGATTGTAGAAAACACAGGAAAGAAACAGAACCTCTCCCTACCCAACATGCTAGATGCCAAAGAGAAGTCAAGAACTGCCAGCTGGGCATCTGGGCTAGGTCTACAGCAGGGCTTTCCTTCCCTGCCCTAATACAGGCAGGGTCACAGACTCCCCTGGGCATGCTGGTTCTGTACCCATGCTGGACAGTGAAGGCTGAAGGTTGACAAGCAGAGAGGATGTCAACGTTTAGGCTAACCAGGCCCATCTAATTCCGTTTCTATAGCCTTGCCCAAGGGTCTGCCTACATAAGGTTCCTCCAGCATCAGAGCTTAAGGAACAAAGATTGAATGCATTCCTTGAGATAGGAACTTTAACCCAAACTGGCACCGAAAGCCTAGGGCACCTCGAATGCTAATTGGATGGGCCTCAAGTTCATCCAATTGAGCAGCACCTCAAATTAGCAAATCAGCACCTCAAGCTGCAATCCAATGCAATGGTTTGGATGAGCCTTGTGCTCATGAACCAGTGCGTAGCATCTAGGGGCCATGGAGAAAGTAAGCCAGGAAACTCGAAGAAGTACAACGCCAGAGTTCCAAAGATGGCAGTGACCTTGGGCTTGGGAAGAGCCAACCTTCAGCCATCTCCTCATTTGTGTGCCAATCCCTGCTCTCAGACATGGCATTTGTCTCCTGAGCCCTGCAGAGGGCCAGGGCCAGCATACCTGTAATCATAAGTGGTGATCTTCTTGCCGTTTTCCAGCTGGGAGGGGGTGATAGAAAGCATCTTAAATCTGTGAAGCTTCGTCAGAAAGTGGCTCTCTGAGGGTGACAGAACAGAGAGATAATGGAAGGGGGATGTGGGAAAGACCAGGGTGGGGTGGTGGAAGAATGGGCCAGAAAGGCAAGGAAAAGAAAAGTCGGGTGACCTTGGAAGGGCTGGGCAGCGTAGGCACCTCACCTCTCACCCTCCGGTTCTTCTTCAGCTGCCAGGTGGGTACGAACACGGTGATCTCTCGGTGTCCACGATTCCAGAAGTACTGCACTGCCATGGCGATGCCTCGGCACGAGAAGAAGTGCTGTAGGCCATGTCTGTGGGACAGTGGGAATGAGAGAGCTACTTCCCAGAAGACCCTGCCCCACCATTCATCCCCTTCCCTGAGAGCCAAGCAGGTAATGTCTCAAGAGCACCAAAGATGCTCCAGCGTTACCTTCACCCTACCCGGCTCTATAAAACAGGGTCTCTCCTTGAAGTCCTAGCTGTCCTGGATGGAGCTTACTATGTAGACAAGGCTGGTCTTGAACTCACAGAGATCCCTCCTGCCTCTGTCTCAGGAATGCTGAATGCTAAATGCTGTGTGCCATCAGACCCAGCTGAAGCCCTGCCCTGAAACAGCTGCCTAGAACTTAAAGACAGAAGAAAAAAATCCTGACCACCTATTGTATGCCAAGAGCCTGATTGACACAAATAACTACTCTACCATGTGACAGATGAAGCACATCTCTGCACTCACACCTCTACAACAGTGAATGCTGAGCATGCAAAACAATCTCTTAGGCCAGTTGAGGTCTGGAAAAGCTTCTAGTAGGTTTGGAGTCAGGTATTGAAGTTTGAGCTACCAAAAAAATAACATGAGTAGAGCATGGACCTTCGCAGCAGATAGATCAGAGCCCAAAGGCCAAATAAATCCCCGGCTGACTCAGAGATCATAAGCAAAAATCTTCACCTCTCAGACACTACATCTACCTAAGAATAAAGATTTTGTCTTCTGTGCCGATTCTGTACAACGACCTACCGTGAAGTAGCCGTTCAGCATGGACCCCTTCCCTCTATCTTTTGCTCCCATAGAAGGTCTGGAAGGAATGCCTGCCCAGCCCCCCAGCATGTCCAACCCATCGCTACTCACACCATGGCCACACTGCTGCCATCAATGACCACTCTCCTCAGCCCTGGATTCCCAGGCTCCTCAGACAAGTTCATCTCGAAGGGTGTATTCAAGGCCTCGTTGTACCTCTGGAAGCTGGTCACTATGTTGGTGCCCTGGGAGTGAGGTGACAGCCTCTGGGACCCCTCCCAAGCCCCAAGAAGTCCTTCCTTTAAGAACTGATGCTTACTTCTGAAGGCCATGGTGCTACTGGACTGGAAATCCTGCCTTCCAGGCTTTCCCTGGCCTTTCAGCATAGTGGCTCTACTCTTTGAAGCCTGAACCTCACTCAAGAGTTTGGTTTCATCCACAGCTGGCCCTGCTAATGCAGACCCCTGAGCTTCTGGTGTTTTAGAAGCTCCAGGGGCATTAGAAGCTGCAGGTGCTGTGGGAGCCTCAGACCCTGCTTTAGCTATGGTCTCAGTTTGAACTTTGGGGCTCTGGGGGCCTGCAGGTGTTTTCACTGAAGGTGATTTCTGAGCTGTAGGAGTTTGGGGGGCTGTGGGTGTGGCAGGAGCTGCTGGTTGATCCACAGCTGCTTTGGAGACTGTGGACACCACAGGAGCTGCTGGTTCTGTAGGAGCTGAAGGCACTTTGGGAGCTGTAGACTCTGTGTACACGGCAGGCTTCTTTAAGGCTGTAGACACTTTGGGAGTTGCAGGCAGACCATCCTTGGTGGATGGGTGTTCAACCTTGGACACTTCAAGAGTTTCAGACATCGCTGGAGCTTCAGGTACTGAACGACCTGTCATCCCGGCTTGAGCCAGTGGCCTCTCTTGAGTTGTGGGTCCCCCTTGCTCTGCAGACAGTGCTAAAGAGGACGGTTTTTCCGGGCCTTTACAATCTGACAATGTGCTTCCTTTATCTCCTTGTTCAGATCCAGCTTGGGGTACAGATGTCGAAGATGGCCCTCCCTGCAGACTTCCTGGGCTAACCTTCTCTTTGATACCACAATCCCCTGGCACCACCGATAAACTAATGATTTTGGTGGAAGTCTCTGGCCTCAGGCTATTCTTTAGGGCTGTCTCCCTCCCTAGCGCCCCGTCTGGTCTACAAGCTGGGCTTTCTGCACTGGGCAGAGGAACCAGAACTTTCTGCTTCCATTCCAGCTTTAAGGGCAAAGGATTCTTCCCTGGCAGCTTCAGCTGGATGGGGCCCGTGGGCCTCTGCCAGAAGGGGAAATTGAAGCAAGCCTGGGATAGGAGCCAGGCCAGGTGAAGAGACTGCAGTTCATTGATCTTCCAGAAGGTGGCAGCAATGGTCCCTGGCCATGAGGGCCCAAAGCCTGGCCCCGGGGCCCAGACTTTCCAGGATGTGTACTCGCTCAGAGCTGACACTGGCGACAGCAATGAGATTCTGTCTTCTGTCTTCTGTACCTGCTTTTGCTGCAAGAGGGCTTGTGGGTGGTTCGCAGAGTCCTGGCTGCTGATGTCTTGTGCAGAGGCCCCTTCCTCTCCGACACTGTTCGTATCATCACCTTGCTTGTTGGACTGGTCCCTGGAGAAAGCCCAAATTCGTTGAAAAGGTGAGAATGGCAGTTTGGTCCCAAATTACTATTTCCTGGAGATCGGGATCAGGGCAGGGGCAGAGAAAACCCACTCTACAGTACCTACCTTACTAGCTGGTGTGCTGTCTCCTGCGGGCTGCTCTGAGTTGGGTTCAGGGACCCAGCTGCTCCCGAACTTGTTAATTTCTTTGAATTTTCTGAAGCCCGATTCAAGGTTCCTATCTCTTGGAGGGCTCCAGGGCTCTCTCCTACGGTCACCAGGGATGAGCCTTCCTTCTGCTGCCGGGCAAGGCAGATCAGGATCTCTGGGTTGGGGCAGGTACCAGAGATGCCAAAGTGGCCGAGCCACTCAATGATGTCTTCCTTGCCAGCGGCATCTCGGACTAGACTGAGAAGCAGCTCCTGGACTGCTGGAGGAAGCTGCAGCAGATCTCCTGCATACTTGCCACCACGAATCCATACCAGAGCCCCAAAAGCCCGGGTCACCTCTGTCTCCCAAACCCCTCGGGGGGTGATCATTGGGGCAGGGCCCCAGCGCAGCCGTGCCACCAGCTCCTCCAGCCAGTTCTGTGTCATGGTAAAAGATTCAGTCAGCCCACCCACCATTAAGGAGCCAGGGGGACCAGGCACCAAGTAGGCCAGAGTACTCCAGCAGAGGCAGTCCAGGAACAAGCCTTGTGCCCCAAGGAAGGCGCAGTGCAGGACTGGCGGGTAGCGAACCTCCTTCCATAGCTCTGGGTTGCACAGACCTTTCAGATATTCCTGGGCAGAAGGGAGAGAACAAAGGGGACCAGTCCCCTGTTAGTGGTTAGCCCCAGTCTGTCCCCTGTACCTCAAAAGCCAACCTCTCTCTAAGCTCAAGCTGGCCAATGCTGACACCGCCAAGGCCAGATGTTCTCCCTCTGTCCCACCCCCTCTTTCCAGGGAACAGTGACAGAATGGATGAGAACTCAGAGGGAAGAAGAGATCCAAGTTTGGAGTCAAGAGACCTCACCTTTAGTTCTAACTTGGCCTCAAGAGACAAGGGAGGATTATAGGAAGTCTGCCATCTTCTCAGGACCTCAATGTCTTCTCATAGAGCATGGCAAGTAAAGCTAAATATGCTTGGGTCTAGACCCTCAGCCACACACTATTAAGTACTCTCATGTGCCGAGAACGTGGCAGCCTGGGGCAAGTTATTAATTCCTTCCTCCCATCTGTGTCTCCCCATCCATTCCCCTGCCTCATGAGTCTACTTGGAAGCTTCAGAGAGCTAAGTGAGCTTGGCTTACTAGGACAGTGCCTGGCACAGCCTGTTCCCATTCTACAGACTCATCAGAGCTTGCCCAAGTGCACACAGCTCAACAGTGTCCACACCAGATCACAGCCTATGTCTACCTGACTGAAACTAGAGCTCTCTGAGGTTCCTCTGGCTGACTACACAGTGATTTCCAGGTAATCCTATAGGATTCAGGCTTAATCTCCCTCCAGAAGCTCTCCAGCACAACCTGTACCTGTTACCATGGTAACTGTTGCCTAGTGGTGGAGATAAGTTGCTGGGCCAGTGTCCAAGGGAAAATCCCACAGATTCACATTGTGTCTAACCAGAAGGAGGGCCTCTAGTTCTCTGGCTGACCAGCCCTCATGTTTGCAGGGAGAGCGGCTGGTTTCATCTACCTACCGGCATAACCCAGTGATCTTCAGGAGCTCCTAAACAGTTTCCGAGAAAGCAGCCCAAGTGGACTGAGGTCACCTTGAGATCTTTCACATCCACACCCTTCAGAACCCCCCTTGTGCCTTCCTTGACAGTTCCATTCCATGACAAATGCTCCTCCACCGCACCCCACCCCTTTTAAGTCTCTAGCAGCCATCTTGAAGCCCACGTTAGCACCTCTGCTCAGGGCACAGGACACTTCTCCCTGATTTACCTTGTGTTTACCTCCTTCCGGGGTTGTAACATCTTTCAACAAAATCTGACGGGCATTCCACCCAAACCTCAACTGGTCTCACTGCCAAGAGAGAGCAAATGTGTGTACAGCTCTCACCTTAACAAATGACCCCCACGCCGTGCACCCCACATCCCAGCTACACAAAAACAACACGTAAGGTCAGAGGCAGGTTAAGGAAGAAAATTGGGGACAAGTTCTTTTTCTTTTCTTTTTTTTTTTTTTTGGTTTGGTTTTTCGAGACAGGGTTTCTCTGTGTAGCCCTGGCTGTCCTGGAACTCACTCTGTAGACCAGGCTGGCCTCGAACTCTCGAACTCAGAAATCCGCCTGTCTCTGCCTCCCAAATGCTGGGATTAAAGGCGTGCACCACCACCGCCCAGCTGGGGACAATTTCTTAAAAAAAAAAAAAAAAAAAAAAAAGTCTAATGGGATCGGGAAGACTGCTCTGTGGGTAAAACGTAAAACGCATAAACATGAGACCTGAGCTTAGGGCGCCAGAACCTAGAGCAGTGATTCTCAACCTGTGGGTCCCGACCCCTTTGGGAGTGGAGTCAAACCACCCTTTTGCAGGGGTCACCCAAAACCAACGGAAAACTCAGATATTTACATTTCGATTCACGACAATAGAAAAATTGCTGTTATAAAGTAGCAACAAAATAATTGTATGGTTGGGAGTCACACAACGTGAGGAAGTGACTGAAAAGGTGGTGGCGGTGTTAGGAAGGTTGAGAGCCGCTGCCCTAGAGTGGTGGAAGCATCCCAGAGGCTCACTGGCCAGCCTAGTTGTCAGCAAGTTCCATGTTCATGTTCCATGTACCTCAAAAAGGTAGGCAGGAGAGGCTGGAGAGATGGCTCAAGAGTTAGGGGTGCTTGCTGCTCTTCCAGAGCACCCAAATTCAATTCCCAGAACCTATACCTGACATCTCTCAACAGCCTATGACTCCAGCTCCAGGAGTTCTGTCACCTTCTTCTAGCCTCTGAGAGTACCACACTTACATGGCACACTTATGCTTGCGCATGAGGGCCCTATCTCTCTCTCGTTCTCTTTCTTTCCCTCTCAATCTTTCTCACCACACAGAGAGTGCTTAAAATATTGTTCCACCGATAGTTCACCATTTTTATGAATGGTATAGCAATTAAGATCATTTCAAAAACAATAAATATGAACTAATACTTATTTAAACCTTATTATGTGCTGGACACATAGATTATCTGATATATTCCTCCCTCGGTCCTACAAAGCCAACCTTCGTTACCTTCCTTTTAAATGAACGAAAATCACATGTTCAAGCTCACATATAGGCATGGTTACCCAGCATAATGACCCCAAAGTCAACGGTCTTACCCATGATGTTGATATACACTGAAAAGCAAAACCAGACAAGGAAACAGCAGGTATTTACAGTCCAGAAAATTATCTGAACAATCTATAGATAAATGGCACTTAAAAATAGGAAAAACATAAAAAAGAGTGATATTATTTGAAAAATATATTGCCCAATATCCACAGATCCTCTCTCACTTTGAAGTTAAATAAAAACATTAGCACCGAACAATATTACGCCATGGTGCTTACAACTCCCCAAGATTCTCCTTCCTTTTTATAAGTCAGTGTTCAATCTGCCTTCAAGGGCCGCCCCTATATACACGAAGGAAAACCAAAAAGGCCAGGAAACATGACAGAACAAAGAAGCTTTAAAGTCAGAGCGAAGGGAACAGGGGAAAAGGTTGAGTTCTTAGAGAAGATTAATCTGAAAACCTAGTACCCCTAACACACACATATACACACACACAAAGAGAGAGAGACAGAGACAGACACACAGAGACACACAGAGACAGAGAAATAGAGAAATAAAGAAATAGAGACACAGATGGACAGACAGACATAAACAGACTTCCCTACCTCCAAAAGGCTTACTATCATTCTCTTCTCAGAAGCATATAAAACAATACATCACACAGTAAATCGGACATTTGTTTTTGAAAACAGAACACATATGACTTCAACTTTGAAATGTAGTAACAGCAATAAAAGACCTAAGAAAAGGATTGAGAGATAGTTAGGCAAAAAGCCAGAGTTAACCAGGTATGGTGATGCATGCCTTCAATCCCAGCACTAGAACACAGAGGAAGGTGTATCAAGGCCAGCCTGGTCTACATAGCAAGTTCTGGGATATCCAGGGGTACACAGAAAAACTGTTTGAAAATAAAAAGGCAGAAAATAGAAAAAAACTGGAGGCTGGGGCTGGAGAGATGGCTCAGCGGTTAAGAGCACTGACTGCTCTTCCAGAGGTCCTGAGTTCAAATCCCAGCAACCACATGGTGGCTCACAACCATCCGTAATGAGATTTGATGCCCTCTTCTGGTGTGACTGAAGACAGCTACAGTGTACTCATAAGTAAAATAAATAAATCTTTTTAAAAAAAAGTATAATTAAAAAAAAAAAAAACTGGAGGCTGTAGAGATGGCTCAGTGGTTAAGAACACTGGCTACTCTCCCAGAGGACCCAGGTTCAATTCCTAACACCACATAGTGGCTCACAACTGGTTATCACTGGATCTGATGCCCTCTTGTGGTGTTCAGGAACACATGGAGACAAAGCACTCATACATAAAAAACACAGCCAAATAAACTTAAAATAAAAATAAAAATTAAAAAAAAAAACAGAAAAAGCAAACAAAAATAAGAGAAAACATAAAGGGCCTGTAGAAAGTTCATCTAGACAGGAACTCAAGAGTTACAGTAAAGTGGGTGCGAAGTGTCAGCAGCCCTGAATCCCCCAGGCCGAAGACCATCAAGTCCAGGAGGAAGGTGTCCAAGCAACACAGGAAATGAAAACAGACATCCATACAAAGCAGGCTCACCTAGAAGACTCAGCATGTTGGAGAAAACTATGGACTTGCTCAAGGGAAAACATCTCAGGCAAAGGAGCAGGACAAGAACTGCCTTGGGCTTCTCAAAAGCTAGATGTCAACAGAGAGATGTCTTCACATTTCTGAAAGAAATTAAGTTTCCCTTCATCACGCAATACCAGCTAAACTACCAATCAAGTGACCTTCAGATATGCAGCCTAGACATGCAGATTACAACACATCTTTCCTCCTAGGAATTATGGGGTAAGCATGCGGCTCCATGGAAGAGCCTCAGTGCTGGGAAAAATATATATTTATATATGTTTTATATATGTGTATTTTATATTCATATATATATGGAAGTCACTTAATTCATTCTCTGCTGCCATAACAAAACACCACCTGTTGGGCCATTTAAATTGGGCATAACTTCATTTGGCTCCAGGTTTTAGAGACTGTGAAACCCAAGAGCGCTGCACCAGCATCACCCCATGCTCAGACAGAGAACAGGCAGGAGAGTCCCCACACTTTGAGCCTGCTTTGTATGGATGTTTGTATAATGAGCCCATCTCCTCCTAAATAATCCACCTCTTCCACCTCTTAACAGCCATCTCTCTTACTACCCTTATGATCGAAGTTAAATTGTAACATGCACCTCAGTAGGGACAGGCAGAGCATAGCAGCTCTACAGAGCAATCTTTAAAACAAAAACAAAAAGAAACTGAGAAAAGAGCCAAACAATGTCCTGGATGACAATCAAGAGGAACCTCAGGATGCACTCATCTGTTCTACCGTCATTACTGAACACTGACTGCAACGGTCTTTGTAGGACCCAACTCATTCATACTTGGGAAGCAAACCACGTCTTGCTTTAGCATTCCCTCTGCTGGGGGACCACCATTTTAACTTGATAAAACCACTGGTGAGTGCCAGCTGCATACCTGAAACACCAGTACTCAAGAGACTTTAGCAAGAAGGTTGTGAGCTAGATACCAGCCTAAGCTATATATTAAGTCTACACTAGCCTGGGCTACATCCACATAACTAGACTCTATCAAAACACTAGCCTGGGCTACATCCACATAACTAGACATTATCAAAAGAAAAGAAGAGAAGAAAGGGGTAAGAAGAAGGAGAGAAAAGGAAACTAATAATGGGTGAGCGCCATCAACCCAAGAAAGAAAGGATTTAACGGAGAAGCGATAACAGGATGCCAGGAGATTGGTAAACTGAAGCCTGAGGTGACAGAGAGAGTGACAGGACAGAGCATAAATCAAGGACTGTCCACAAGAGACTATCTGCAGCTACACAGACAGGCTGCTAAGTTTAGAATGTTCTTCTAAAACCTATTTGTAGGGACTTGTCCTCGGCTGGACACTCTCGGGAGATGGTGGGACCTCTGGAAAGTGGGGACTAGTGAAAGGAAGTGAGGTCACCAGGACACACTCCTAAGTGGATATTGGGATCCCTACCCTGCCTTTCTCTAGTAGCCTCAGCTCTTCTAAAGGGAAGAGGCCTCCTCTGCAATGTGCTGTCACTGTGACTCACGGACCACTACAGGCTCAAGTGAAACCTTCTTCTTTATAATTGTTTACCTCAGAGAGAAGAATGAAGTGCGGAGCTAGGAGAAGGTTTAAGCATCAGCGATATGTGCATAGAAAGGCAAGCAATTTGGAAAGGAGTTTTTTTTTTTTTGTTTTTTTTTTTTGTTTTGTTTTTCGAGACAGGGTTTCTCTGTATAGCCCTGGCTGTCCTGGAACTCACTCTGTAGACCAGGCTGGCCTCGAACTCAGAAATCCGCCTGCCTCTGCCTCCCAAGTGCTGGGATTAAAGGCGTGCGCCACCATCGCCCGGCTGGAAAGGAGTTTTAAACCTTGGTTAAACCATAAAAGCAAAAGGAAAACAAAGGCCCCAGATGACTTCCTACATGGATGATGAGCACAGAGGCGGGATGGAGTAAAACCTAAATATAGACTTAGAAAACTCAAACCAAACACGGGAAAGGAAGAGGCAGTGTCAGCGTGAGGGAGCTAACCCTCACATGTAATAACAGGAAGAAGAAAGCAAACATCCCACATCGGTGGAAAGGCAAGAGTATCTGCATGCTCCGTGAGAAACATGGAGACTTGGGAATGCCAGAAAGGTCCTGAGGCAGGGAGGGAAAAAATTTGTGAATTTTAAAAAGGGACAATAATTTTAAATGTAAATTATGTGATTTAAAAAAAAAATTTGGGTAGTGGTGCTGCATGCCTTTGATCCCAGCACTCAGGAGGCAGACGCAGGCTGATCTCTGTGAATTAAAGGCCAGCCCTGTTGTCTACAGAGCATGTTCCAGGACAGCCAAGGTTACACAGAAAAACTCTTGTCTCAAAAACAAAATAAAACTTTAAACTAAAATTTAAAATAATAATAATAATAAAGAATTTTTAAACTTACATTTAAACAAAAAGAGATTAGGCTCTCAGTCACAACACAGCCGTATAGGCCAACATTTCATAATCAGCTCATAGGGACAGAGTACAGCCCTGATTTAGAGCACTTGCCAATTTCTGCGGTGTAAATATTCTCACGGTGGCTATAAATAGCTCTCCAGTAGCTTGCAAAGTTCCTGAAATTTTAACAATGGGTTTCTGTGAGCCAAACCCAGCACACACCTGACCACAATCAATTTCCATGATTCTACTCACTGAGTACCAGGGACAGACCAACTTCCGTCTTATAACCAACCAGAGAACCAGAACACAGACTCCAGAAGCCACTTCCACTACTACTGTCTTCGGAGTCCCTGTCACCTCTACCCATTTTCTCCAAAATTAAGAGGAGTAACCACGTCTCCTGTCCTGTCTGGCGGCACTCAAACCCCCATAGTCTGTTATGCAGAATAGTGCAGACCGGGTACACAGGTTCATCGAGGGGCTCACTCAACCGCTGTTCAACTCCTCTCTCCACTAGGTGATTTCACCTCGGGGGAGCCAGCTTCCCCAGGGTTTGTTTTCCTACCTGGGGTGTGATACACAGTAACGATTCTGATATTTCCTAAATCCTGCCACTTGATAAGAACTTTAAAACACAAGTTTAATGGAGTTTTTTTTCCCAAAAAGCAAGCACAAATAATATAAAAACATACCAGATCCTACTTTAAGTGAGCCTGCATCTTCTTGACCCCTCTTCCACTCTGACCAGAACAAACGACCGACCTCATTGTTCCTCCTCCATCTCTGCCAAAAGTTCTATACCAGTTGACCTACGAATGGAAGGCAACCGCCAGAAGGCAAAACTCCAGATCCCTACAGGTACAACTGGAGTCCACATTGCATCCTTCTGAAATAACAAGGCGTCTTCACATTAGGAAAGGCTCACAGCAGGTAATCAAAGCTGATCAGCTTACAAGATATCAAACTGGGAGAAAGGCCTGGTCCCTAATAAAGCTAGTTACTAACAGCAGCATCTGGCTTCTGTATGCATTCTTTCGGTTGGCCCTCACAATTCTTACATGAGAAGAGTGTTATTACATTGTTTGACAAACAAGGAGAAAAAGGTTCAAGATGGCTGAATTATTAGACCTGGACCTCTTTAACTGTGCTTCTCTTTGGGCTATGATGTGGTAACAATGTGTCAAATCCAGACCTCCTGAAATCCTTAGCCTCCCCACATTCCACTGTCCCTTGCCCCTGCTCCCCTCCCCCACTTCTTCCCTCTGTCTCCACCAGTACAAGAAAGGAAGTTACCCAGAATCCCTGCAAGCGGCTCCCATCTTCAACAATGCCTCTCTCTAAGGCAATGAGGGACGCAGGAGGAAACTGACAGCACCACTGGATCCACTTAGCAGGGCTTGGAGTGAGAAACTTGGGGGTGAAAATCTACAGCCCAAAGAGGCAGCGATGCTGACAAGCTTAAAGCTGACTTGAAGTTTAAACAAGAAACACAAAGCAAGCATCTCAAGCAGTGCTAGTCAAGGGGGGGGGGGGGGAGTAGGTGGCTCAGTGGCAGAGGGCCTATGTGGTATACACAGGCCCTGGGTTCAGTCTCCATCTTAAGGAAGTCGCTGGTCAGCTAGTTAGTTAGTTCTCCATGAAGGCTGAGCTGTGGTACTTTACAGTAACAGAAAGATTAAGAACATAAGGAGCCCAAAAGCCTCTTCTTAGCTTACCCTACCCCAGCCTCTGAAACTAGGAGGCCTCTGCACATCTGTTCTCTGGGCAGACACCTCTCCCCTCCCCCAGCACCTCTGTCAGAACTGGAAAACTGCTGATGCAGCAGCTTACTGGGCGTGTTAAGGGAGACATTTCCCAGCCTCCCCGTCCTTCTGCTGGCTGTGTTCTGGGCCTCCCCTACCTAGGCCCTGGCCAACTGAGATGTGGGTAAAGCCTCAGCCAAAAGGTTAGGACTGGCATGTATCTGAGAGAAGGGAGCCCAGAGCATTCCTACAGAAGATAAGGGGATCTGAGGGAGTGGGGGCCCTTGGGTGTGACTGAAGCAGAGGGAGGAGCCCAAGCAGAGGGGCTGGAGGGAGAAGCCAAGTTGAGCGTAAAAGGGACAAGCTGTGACCTGGCCTATCCAATATCCAGCTCCATAGAGCTGGCCCTTTCATCTCAACTTCCATAGTCCTCCTGCCAGAGCCCCTGGCATCCCAAGGCACTGCTTTCCAGAACAGACGCATCCTACCCTGAGCCTCTCAGACAGGCCACTGGGCACAGCAAGAATATGGGGCAGGTCCTAGGTTCTAGCCCAACCTCCACCAACCTACTCCTTCCCGACACTGATAACTGAGGCAGACCCTCACCCTCTCTAAGCCCTAATGCCTCATCTATAAACTGGCAACACTGCTCTACAAGTGTCTCTAGGGCCCTCCTCCGGTCCTAGTACTCAGAGAAACCGCCCAGGATTTAAACAGAAAGAAAGGATGGAGGCCTTCCAGAGTCTTGGTGAGAACAAAGAGGTATGTTGCAGAGGCCACAAAAATGCAGGCCCTTAAACTGATCCCAAGATGGAAAATCAGGCCCCGTTTCGGACCAGAGAAGGCTCTGGTCAGAAAGAGACCCTGAGCAGAGGTTATCCCAGCACACTTAAAGGACAGATGTGACATGCAAGAGAGGGGTGGGGCAGAAGAGAAAGAAGGAAGCAGAGGGACAGAACTGGGGCTGCAGATCTGGAGGGAGGAAGGCCCAGACCCTGCAAGCCGAGCAGCAGGACCCAAGCTCAAGACCTCTGGAACTGCTAACTGTTCAGGAGTGAGGGAGAGGATCTGATCAGAAAAGCTAGGAAGGAGCAAAACGAAGCTGTTTACCTTAGCTTTGCCCGTATTTTCCCGGGGCCCCTCCAGCTGCAGCCAAAAGTAAGGGGTGTCGGGACGGCTCTGGAAGGCGGTCACCTTGACCCTGAAGATGCGCTGGACTTGCAGCCGCTGTCGGTGTACCCGGGGCTTCGATTTTGTCTGTACCATGAACCATTCCTGCGCCGGGGGTCTACCCCCCGACAAGAGCATGGTTGTCCCTCCCGCCCCTGGAAAGCGTGAGAAGTGTCACGGGTCCCAGCACCGAGGCCCACAGCCACCTAGCCCCGCAGCCTAAGCCACGCCTCCCCTTCTTGAGGCGCGCCCCCGGCCCCCCGCCCCCCCGCCCCCGCCTCCCTGCTGCGGGCTCTGCGACCCACCCGCCAGCGCTCGGCTCCCGCCCTCCCAGCTCTGTCCCTTTCCGCCGCTGAACAGGAGACAAGCTCTTCCTGCTAAGGGTTGTAGCTAGGGGTGGGACCGGGCGAATTCCCGCCGCCCTTCCTCCCCCTCAACCACCACCCCCTCCTCCCCCTCAACCACCACCCCCTCCTCCCCCTCGACCTCGAAGCCAGGCCCCCTGGATAAACTCGCCTAGGCTGCTGGATGGCTTAAAGGGGCGCTGGAGACTGAGGGAGGGAAGGAGAGGAGGCTGGGCGGGAGGGAGAGGGCCAGACGGGGTCTTGAAAGCAACTGCCTTCCAACCAAGTTTTGTGTTCAGGGGTCAAAGTTCCCTTCTCAAAGGAAGGAAGAGAAAGGATTGAAGAGTTGGTCTCTGAGACCCTGTTTTTAGATTTCAAGCAGTGCTCTACACACACACACTACACATACACACACACACTACACATACACACACACACATACACACACTACACACACACACTACACATACACACACACTACACATACACACACACACACTACATATACACACCACACACAGACACACACACTCACGTACACTCCTTGGCTGTCTGGAGGTCCCTTGAAAATCCTTACCTCACCCAGCTCTTTGTGGCAGGAAAGGGTTAAGGAAAAATGGGGTGGAGAGACCACAGAGGCTAGAGCCTGTAGAAACTATGGGATGGAGAGAGACCAAGCAGGAAGTAAAGGGTTACAGCTCTGACCCCCCACCCCCACTCAAGTCTGGGGACCGCCAGGAACTGGCTCAAGGCCCAGACCCTGCGGAAGCCCCCCAGGGCTGGAGGGGCAGGGGAGCTAGCTGCCAGGGTTTTCAGGCTTGTGTTTATGAGAACCCCCTTTTTAGCAAGTGTGAGTTAGGGTGTGAGGAGCCAGTGGGAGGTAGGGTCTCCAACAACCCTTATCCACAGCCATCTGGTTGGCATCAGTGATCCAAGACTAGCCCTGGGCTGGGGACACTTTAAAAACCCTAGCAGCCTTGGAGACATACTCAATACAAAGAACACTTTATGTAGTCTTGTAGCCTGAAGTAGCCTGGCACTGTGAAGGCACAGTCTGCACTTGGGGCCTCAAGAGAACCTTACTTTCCAAACAAACTAAGAGTCACAGTCTGACAGACACACGTATGGCCTGATCCGTGGGAACAAAGGACAGCTGATTTTTTTTTTTTTTTAACTAAGTCTCTTTCCTGGGACATCTGTGTTACAGAGCCACCTATGTGTGTATGCAGGCCAGTGAGGAGGTGCATTCTATAGAAAAGGGGCCAGACTAGACTGGATGGTCAAACCCCACCTTTACAAGGTCTTATCCCTGGATTGGAATTCAGAAAAGGAAAAGGTGGTCTGTGGGGTTCTGGGTAGTCAGCTTCCCAACCCTTTGAAGTCTAAGGATGTCTGAGTGATCACACTTCTCTCCACTCTCCCTGTCTTTAATCATCGTGCTGTCTATCAAAAAGCAGGCTTGGTGATGCACGTCAGAAATTCCAGCATGCAGAAGGCCGAGTCCAGAGGCCCTGACTCAGAAGAGGATGGAGGGTTGTGCCTCAGTTTCCCTTTCAGGAGCGAGGGATAGGTAAGGAGCCACACAGCCTCTTGCCACTCCTTCTCTTAGTGATGCTAAATTCTTTCTGGCCCCTACTAATGATTGAAAACTTCAAGTACAGTTACTATTGTCAGGGAAAGGCCCCAGGTTTAATCCTATGTTCAAAGAAGTGATGTGAAGGGCAAAAAGAAGCCAAGCATAAGATACTTCAAAAACAGATCATTTTAAAGCAATTTATTTAAACTTTTGTGCTCTGTTGCTTTAGCTCACAAACAAGGGGGTAATAGTCTGGGGCGCAGGATGAACATCAGAGCTCATAGGTAAATTTATGTAATTGAGAGACTGAATTACTTACCAGTGTAGCTGTGTACAGTGTACTGTGACACTTGCTAACTGGTTGTCTCCTTTCCCAGATCTTGTCTTCTTCCCCATCTCAGCTCAAGCCAGTGTGTCCTATAGATTCTCTGCTCTAGAAATTCTCTCCTCCTTGACTCAGCCTTTACCGCCTGATCATCTATCCACACGGATGAAGTGGATTTGTCCAAAAAGCTGGTTATCACCCCACTTTGTCAGGAATGAGCCTGTGAACCCTCAAACAAGTCAGAAAATCCCTTGGTCCAGGCTCAAGTGTCCCTTCCGTTGATGTATTCACTGGGTCAAGTTCATTCAACAATTTCAATACTTATTTATTTATCTGCTAGGAGCCAGGCTCTTGGGTGCAGCTTCAACTTGGGTATCTACTCGCTTGTTGGAATGGATCCTATATGACTCAGACTGCCCTAGAATTCACTACATCATTCAAATTGGCCTTGAACTAGAAACAATCCTCTTGTCTCTGTCTCCCAAAGGCTGTGATCACTTGCATGCACCAGCATACCCATCTTCTCTTAAATTTTGATCCAAGTATTTTCCCAGCTCCAGCTCAACTACATTCATTGATTTTGAGAGGGAGAAAAGGAGTGGGAAGTTTCAAGTCAGGGTTTCTCTGTGTAGCCCTGTCTGTCCTGGAACTCACTCTGTAAACCAGTTGACCTCAAACTCAGAGATTCCCTGCCTCTGCCTCTCAAGTGAATACTGGGATTAAAGGTATCTGCCACTTTGCCTGGCCTACATTCATTAATTCTTTTTGTTTGTTTGTTTTGTTTTTTTGTTTTTGTTTTTTTCAAGACAGGGTTTCTCTGTATAGTCCTGGCTGTCCTGGAACTCACTCTGTAGACCAGGCTGGCCTTGAACTCAGAAATCCACCTGCCTCTGCCTCCCAAGTGCTGGGATTAAAAGGCGTGTGCCACCACCGCCCGGCATTCATTAATTCTTTACCTACAACATTAGGTTAAATGGTGGAAGCCTCCTGAAACCTGGCCCAAATCTACCTTGAGTAGCATGATCAGCAGTGGGTAAGAAGCCCTGTCAGGAGTCCACTTGCAGGAGGAATGAGAGGCCTCCAAGCCAAAAGATCATCCGGATTAAGAAGGGCCCTGCACTGTGAGCTTGACTGGTAGATCCTTATCCTTCCAAAGCTTTGGAGGGAGAGACAGTTCTGTCATTCAAATACCTAGCCCAGATCCACACCCATGTGAATTCCTAGGAATGGGGTGGGGAGCTTTGTGAACCAGAACCAAAAACTACTATCAGGAATATCCTTGCTATTTTCTGGACTTTAGGAATCTAATTCGTAGGTTAGATAGCCTTACTTCCTTATCTATTTTGTCACAAAGGGAAACTTCTTAATAGAAAACTTATGTACACTAACTGATAACAGCCTTTTGTCTCGAAGTTTCGCATTCTTAAGTGGTCAGCTTTATCTTTCCTTGACTATAAAACAGTGAATAGATCTGCTGCATGACGCACTGCTAACAAACAATCCCGTAGCTCACACTCCTGCACACACGGCGGCCTGAGAGCTCCTGGAACTGAAGCTGCAGTAGAAGATAGACACAAAGAGACGGTTCTCCAAAATCGTGGTAATGTAGAACTTCGGGAAAGTGTCAAGACAGTTAAGATGATGGAGCAAATGGTAGACCAATTCCTAAAGAGAAGGAGATGCACACGTGCATGCTAGGTGTGTTGTGCTCACTGTACAGTGTGTGTGTGTGTGTGTGTGTGCGTGCGTGCGTGTGTGTGTGTGTGTGTGTGTGTAGTATCAGAATTCATCCTCCTGCTTTCCATCATTTTTAGATTATTTATTTATTTAATTTACTCATTTTTCAGAGATCTTGGTATGTAATCCAGGTTAGCCTTGAACTTGTGATTCTCCTGCTCCAGACAAAGTGCTGGGATTATTGACACATGCTGTAGCATCCTGCTTTGTTTTTCAGACTTCCCCCCCCCCCAACTTTTTATTGATTCTTTGTGAATTTCACATCATGCACCCCAGTCCCAATCCCACTCATCTCCCTGTCTCCTCATACCCACCCTCCACCCTAGCAACCCCCCCCCAAAGAAAATAAGAAACAAACAAAAAGCAAAGCATAGAAAGCTGGAGTCACAGTGTGTCCCACAGTATACCCCTCTGTCCACACATCTTCACTTGCAATGAGGTCAACGCAAAGTATTATCAGTCTGGTTCCAGGCCTCTGGCTTCTGACACACCATCAATATTAGATCCTCACAGGACTCCTCTTGGATATCCTGTTGTTGTTCTGTGTCATGGAGATCCTGCAGCTTTGGATCTGCAGGACCAGCCCTTTCACGAGGGCCAACAGCTCACAGGTGATGTAGATTTTGGGGTGGGCCAACCCAGCTGAGCTAGTCAACCTCCCTTATCTGTACCACCAGGTGAACTCCCCGTCAGTGCCCTCAGCTATCCTACCCAATGCCACCTCCAGCACTGAGTGGTGTCAGCTCTCCTGCTCTCAAGCCCTTGGGGCCGGGCCAGCTTGCTGTGCTGCCTAGATGAGGCTTGGGGCCTACTCTGCCGAGTGCTGCAGCCAGCAGTGGTCTAAGTCAGCTCTCCCTCTCTCCCACATTCAGGGCTGGCTCACCTGGGCCCCTGCCACCCGGGTCAGCTCTATTGTGCTGCCCATGCCAGGTACAGGTCCTGCTCTCCCAGGTGCTGCCACCAGTGAGAGGTCTCATGCAGCTCAGACTCACCTAGTAACCTAAAAATGACCTTGAACTTCAGCCTCCTGCCTCCACTTTCCAAGTGCTGGATCACAAACACAAACTACTAGGCCAATACCAGCCATATTAGAAACTCAGAGATCCACCTACTTCTGCCTCCCAAGTGTTGAGATTAAAGGTATGTGCCTACTGCCACCTGGCACAATTTTTTAATATT